AGTATTGTAATGACGTTACAATTTAAATTAAATGTTTTATTTTTTTTATATTTCGTTACACGTCACTACGTTTGTATAGGTTAACTTCGGACATTTTTTTTGTGGTTTTTGTATTAGACCCGACATAAATTTGTTGATAGGTCAATGTGAATCACAAATAAAAATTATGTAGTAAACATTTTACATATTACTATTTCTTTTTGTTTTGTTTTGTTCTCAAACGAAGGCATAATAGTGTTTGAAATAATATATTCAATTGTTAAGAAAATGAACTAAGTTATTATTTGATAGGTTTTTCAAAATCATAGATATTATAATCTATTACTTCTCGTAATAACTAATTATTAAGATTTTTAGTAATGTTAATAGGTAATTATTATCCACTTTACTTTGGAATTTTTAAAATCATGCCATCGAGTATATAACCAGAAATAGAGAGGAAATAAGGGCCATTCATCCCTGGTATTCATCAGGCAAATGGGCCATATATCACTTTTAAATATCAACTCTCGTTTGCGCTGAAATCACAAATTAGAAAACTGAAATAGTACAGCGCCAACATCTAACTTATGTGTACGTCTACGTATATTCTAAAAATATTCTGTATTTATTATGATAAAGACAATATCTCTAGCAATGGGGGCCGTTCCATTCAGTGGTGAGAGAAAAACAGCAGAACATCTAATTACAAAACAAATGGAATCACATTTTAATTAAATATTAAATACACAATTTTGTAATTTTCGTCCATTATAGAAAAGCTCAAGTTAAACTGGTCGATTTGAAGTAAAACAATAATTATTTTTGTGTCGTCAATTGTGACGACACCCGTTAATTGTTTCGAATTAGGGCTGGCCAATCGGAGCGCAGCTGTCACAGCAATGATTTAACAGAACAGTTTTCAAACAAATTAAATGATATTTCGTCTCTATTTCTGGTTGTATACTCGATGAATAACGTATACAAATTTATTATAATACTCACAAATTGGACACCGCTATCGATACATTGCAATAAATCGTTAAATAAAGATAGAACTATATTTTCTCCATAGATTCATTTATGACTTAACTCAAGAAAAAGTTTTATGGACATGGTAAAATGAGAACGCTTCTTACATCGACTTGAAGCATTTTCTGACCTACTAAAGCCAGCGATTTCGTGTCGAGTCCGTTACGTTTTTGGTGGGACACTAATAATTTACAATTATAACATTTTGTAGATAGAAAGTCTCATTTGCTCATCAGTCATATTTTTTTTCTCAAATCGTTGTAATACTGCGAAATCATTGAAAAAAAGTCAAAATTTTTTATATATAATAATAACGTACACACTCAACATAGCCCCGCAGTAGGGAAACCCTGTGTCGCGAGTGCCATGGACACACACGTAGACGACCACAAATTACACCCAAACTCACGAGAGAAATAAATGTAGGCCATACAAGTATTTCTCCCGGCGCAGGAATCGAAACTGGGACCTTGACGTGGCAGTTCGGCATGGTAACCGTTCGGCCACAGAGGCATTTCAATAATTGTTTATCCCAGTATAACGGCGATATGTGAACGAAGTCGCAGGCTAAAACGAGTAAATCAATAACTTACCAATATTATCGTTTTTATAATCGTGTTTATAGATAGGCACAGAGGAAACTTTTCTCAATTCGGCTACTTCGCGCAGGCCACGTTCCACGTAGTTGCGGAAGTAGAACGATGAGCTTTGCATGAATGTCCATATGTCCACTTCGGGGTGACGTAACTGTAAACGAAAAGTATTTATAACACAAATCGAAATTATGTTTATTTTCAAGGTAAGTAAGGTACACTTGAAGTCGTCAAATTACAACACAACTAATTCATAAGCTAGGACATTATTACAAAGAGCTAAAAGGATCTTTGTCATTCAAGGAAACAGTATAATAATTTTATATACAAAATTTTTATTTTGCGATATTTTTAAACTTCGTACACGGCAATTTTTTAATAACAATATGGATCTTATCACACAAGCCATGTATTATGTTGCCCCTTAAACATGTTTGCGAATTTGTGAAGACGATTGTTGGGTATGTAGTCTATCACCCTCTTACTACTGGTTGGCAACGGATTGAGTGATTCGAGTTAATAAATTAAATTGCGACTTAGTATTAACTTTTATAATATTAGCATTAACAAATATCGTCGCCTTACTTTCTCAAACACGTATCTTAAAGAGCAAAGTAACTGAAATGCAGAATATGCATTGTATATACAAATTTGTAGGCTGCTTTCACATTTCCTTCATATTCACATTCTGGCTTTTATCTATTCTTACGGTAATGCATCCAAACTAACACCCTTGATAAGAAATTTAAAATAAATAGAAATTTTTGCCATCTCCTGAATAATCACTCTTTATAAGACACGTGTTTGAGAAAGTAAGGCATTGTATAGTATGTTATGATAACTAAGGGAACTACTAGCCCGGCAGTTCAGGCGTCATACATTCTGAAGGTGGAAGGTAGTCTGGGAGTCTGCTGAGAGAACACTGGTTCGCTGGCACTAAGGTAGATGAGTTTGCGCAATGTTGACTGCTAATTTAGATACAGTATTTGTTGTCATGACGGCTTGAAATTAGAGTATCATGAAGTAGTCACTACAGTCTGTTTCAATCCATTATACAGTATAATCTCAGTACAGAGTACTAAAATAACGACCTCAAAAGTTCGTGGAATTACATTTACGTGGGGCGCACTGTAAGTTTCCGGAATTAATAAGAAAAAAATACTATAAATGGTCAGAAATTAATTTATTGTTTCTCAAAATATTCTCCGTTAGCGTTAATGTACTTTTTCATACGAATGAACCAATTTTGAAAACATTTATCACTCCTCCGTGACAATCTCTGAAACATATTTTTCATTCTTTTGGACAGCCTTTTCAAGTGATGAAAATTGTTGACCGCGTAACTGGTTCTTAATTTTTGGAAATAAATAAAAGTCACAAGGTGCCAGGTCGGGCTGTACGCGGGATGGCTCATAAAATCAACGTTGTTCACTTTCAAAAATTCATTTGTCTGTTATTTTTACGGAGTTTGTCAATAACTTCCGGCAAACAAATGGTCGTGTACCAATCACTATTAGACGGTACAACGATTCTCCAAAGCAACAGTGGCCACGTGTCCAGTTTTATTGAAAAAAAGAAGCAATCATCCGCTTAGAGGCACTTTGCACGCGCGCCACTTTGGTTGGTTTCGGCTCATCTTGAAAGACCCATACGTTCGTTTGCTGCTTTCTTTTGGGATCGTAAATATAAATCCACGTTTCGTCACCTGTCACTATGTCCCACACCAAATTTGACGCCCCTTCGTTGAATCTGGTAAGCATGACATTGCACCAAGTGACGCAGTCCGTTTTTTGAGCCTTAGTGAAATTGTGTGGGATCCACCGAGAGCACAGCTTTTCACAATCAAATGTTTGTGTAGTGTTGATTGTATTTGACTCATGTGTCACATGCCTGTCTGTTTTGATCATACGACGCACAGCATCGATGTTTTTGTTGTTCACAGCAGTGGACGGGCGATCATCACGAAATTCGTCACTGATATTCAAACAACCGCGTTTGAATTCTGCAAACCAGCTATAAATAGTCGTCTTGCAAGGTGCTTCATCGCCAAAAACAGTTTGAAGCCGAGCGAAGCTCCGCTGAGCTGTTGAATTACACTTAAAGTCGTAGAAAATCATACTACGAAAATTTTCACGAGTTAAATCCATGATGATGTAGATAACCAATTTCTAAAATGACGCCACAATGTAAAACCAAGTGACAGTCAAATGAAACAAACTGTATTCTACAGCCAAAGAGTTCCATTTTCAAATGTTGTATTTACTTTTTAAATATTGTTTATATAAGCGGCCAGTTCCGGAAACTTAAAGTGCGCCCTATGTATTTGCCAAGTTTTATTTAAATAGGTTACCGGAAAGTGAGCGAAACATGAATTATCCCCTAGTTCGCCACGCTTAGAGGTTCAATACTTTCTTCAAAATTAAATGGGATCAATACTGAGGTAACCTTTTTACAAAAAAAAAAAATCATCAAAATCGGTTCTTAAATTTTTAAACCGGAACATACTTACAAAAAAAAATCGAACTGATACCTTCATCCTTTTTGAAATCGGTTAAACAGTAGACAAACCGGTTTGGTTAAAATTCTAAAGCAATCTGTAAAAGTAATAAAAGTACTCACTCGCAAATCATATAACTGTGAAAGAGCGTCCTTATTATGCTCCTTGCTGCCGATTCTCTTCAATATAGAGGACAACTCGTCATGCACGCCGCGCGGCAGCCGATTGGCGTTCAAAGCAGAGTTGTTGGCTGTTACAGGGGCAAACACATTGCCCGTGTTCATAGCGTCTGACGAGTTCTCTTTCTTGTCATCTAGTTTTAGTTGCTGAAAAATCATGTGCAATTTAGACATATATGCTTCACTGTTTTGAATACCAAAATGCCAAGACTCGTAGAAATCTAAACAAATTGGCAACAGAAGTCATACCTAGGGAAACATTATTGTCGCACAGGTGACGCTTACGTCACCAGTGCGCTTCGGAGATGAAACAATGTGTAAAAATGGTGTTTTGCAGCATATCTAATTGCGAAAATGCTTCCATAAGCTGTAATTTTACTAAAAAGGAATTACATTTCACAAAAAGTAAATATTTTAATATACATTTGGATTGATAAATTTTAATCTTATATTAAAGACAAGTGTTTTAATTATAGACCAAGCCGCATCCCTAACATTTTACGGAGTAGTAGTAAATTTACGGACACGCGCTTGTGAATGTGTGAGAACAAATCACGGTGCAGGGAAATTCTTAGTACGCACTGAAACTATGTGCATATGTAGTAGTAGTGCGAAAGGGGGTGGAGCACAAGTGGTAACACTCGTTTTCGAAGAAATAAACGTTGTTTGCATTGTAAACAGAGTTCATAATTAAATCTTGAGGCATGCCAAAGCATTCTATCGCGACATCGTGCTCGCGCCTGTCGCACGTTCCTCTAAGATCATTATCATTTAAATTGCAACTATAATACCATAATTTTAAGGTATATTGCTATTCGTCACCTAGAAATCCCTTGCCGTCCCGTCCCGTCAGTGGCCGCCGGGCCTTAGAGTGAAAACCTCAGCTACGCAAATTTACATATTGTAAAAATGTTTTAACAATATTTTTCTTAAAGCCAAACTTGTTTAAATATATATTGTATTACAATAACATACCATCTAAGACAGACGGCTGTTGTTTGTTACATTTAAATGCTAACAAACAATACCTAACTACAAACAAATTGACTTATAATTACACTTTGAACAGTACGTGTGTTCTATTAGGTCTACACGACGTTGTCTTTCCAAAGTTCTAACGGGTAAAATATTTTATTTTCGAATTTGCAGCACGTTCATTCCGATATTCCAGCGCGAAACGCATCATGCGAATCTTGAGAATATCCACAACCTAGGGGTGGAATCCCAACCCACGTCTCGTCCCCCGATGATGGAAATGGGAAGGCGGAATCAAATTATGCAATTCCATCGCACGCTCTCCGTGATATACCCTGTAGAATACCGATAAGCAGGCAACTTTACAGCGTAGTTCAAGGTCCAGACTTCACCTCTACTAATAGCTTCACCTACAAGCCTCTTGGCATGCTTGTCGATTGAATCCAAGGCCAGTTTGTATTTAGCAGAGCCATCACATAAGTGGCAGCAGTACTCCATACACGAACGGATTTGAGTATCATGACGTTTTTGCCACCATAATGTTCATATAATAATATATCATATTTTTTGTGAAAAACTAGTTTGTTATTATTATTGACAGAAAGATCGAACAAGCGCAAAGAAAAATTCTGTCGGTCGAGCTGGACTCGAACCAGCTAGTTCGCCAAACCGGGGCTACCGCTCTCCCAATTGAGCTACGGAACGAATCAGCAGACGTTACGAATTTCTCTAAAATAATATTGCAACAGCACACTTTATTGTTCTTCCTGAAAAAAAATCGATACGAGCCTTAAAACGAGATGTTCATGTTAAGACTGCGATAATGTAACTTACCTTGAGTACTTTAAGCAAGTACGGAAAAAGATCAGATTCATTTACGTCAGGGATCTGCGTTAAGTGGTTTGTGATGGACGCGCCCTTCATCTTGACTAGTGTGTGCACCAGAGTTTTCACAGTACTGTGGATAATAATTAACGTTAGGAAATGAAACTATTTTTCCGGATTTAAATCGCGTATATTTGTTTTTTCAAACAAACCGACGTTTCGGGTCCCTATAGTTAAAAATAGGGTGGTTTGCATTAATATTAGACATAACTGGTTGAAGACTGTACCACCTCAGTCAACCGTGACCATGGGACCTGTAAAGGGCCCGAAACGTCGGTTTGTTTGAAAAAACAAATATACGCGATTTAAATCCGGAAAAATAGTTTCATTTCCTATGTGTAACAATCGCGAAAACCTAAGAATTCGATAAATTAATGTTAGTTTTGTACTTGCTTCTTCACCTACGTGGCCACCTTTAGACAAGTATTTAAACTGCCTCAGTGGCCGAACGGTTGCCATTATGATCTGCCACGTAGAGGTCCGGAGTTCGATTCTCAGGCCGGGAGAAATATTGGTATGTCCTACATTTATTTTTGTCGTGAGTTTAGTTGTATTTGTGGTCGGCGGAGTTATGAATGTCTGCGTAAAAAAAAACTAGTACTATATATTGTTTTATGTATTATGCTCAGGCCACACAGAGGCGGTCGCTGAAACGTTCCAAGCACGGGAACTTTTGTAATTTACGAGTTCAACTATCGAGTCGTAGAAAAGTCTCGAGAGAGACTTCAACCATCTAGCAAACCCTACCACGCTTTGTGTGGCCAGAGTATTACCCTTTCCGGGCAACCAATTCCCGTTGGCAAATATCAAACTGTATCAGAAATTGTTCTCCCTCTAGAAAGGCAGGTTTAACACGCATTTAAAACACAGGATGAAAAGACAACTCACCGATAAGGCGTGTCACTAATTTCAGGGTTCTTTTTCCAATAGCTATTAGGATATGCCTTATAAAACAGATGTATTTTGTATAATACAGCGTCATAGTCTATCGAGTGGACGTCCCACCCTGCTATCATCTTCAAGGTCTTCCAAAAGCATTTTAGAAGTAAGTCCTGGTAGCGTGGGTAGGCTGGATCGGAGACGCCGATGGATTCATGTAAGAGTGACACTATTGCGCTGGAAACATAGAAGTTGATTGGATTATATGACACAATTTGAGTACTAACTTTTATTACGAAGGAAGGTAGACTGAATATCTGTACGTACAGAAAGGCATCTACTGATGGAGTAGCTGTGGGCATGTAACGGCTACGTAATATTGGGTGAAGAAAAAGTCATAAAGTGGTAATAAATTTGTAACTACTGATAATCATTTAATGAATAACCACATATATTAATGTATATTTTACATTTTTGTAACAAATGTTTTGGCAATTACAAAGATAAAACTGCGACTCTGACTAAAGAATAAACAACTTACCTATAATATACTAATAAAAAGAACACGTCTCTATAAAACCGAACTCACTCAGTCACTGACAAGATTTTTAAATTGCATCTACAAAGGTGTCTTCATGCGCAAGAGACGTTTTAACTTTCAACAGATTTTTCAAAACAACAAGGTGCTATATTATGCTTGTGCAGAGTATAATTAAGTAGATAGATCTTACCACAGCAAGGCGGTACGCTGGGAGTGCTCCATGACACGAATGCAGACGTTGTTGAGAATTCGGGCAAGCTTCTCGCCGTCGCTAGCCGAGCCGCCTTGCGGTGTGCTTGCACCCAGCACGCTGAGCAACTCACCGAGCAGCGACGATAGCGCAGACTCGCCTACGTGAGAGCCGCAGCCTCCCGTCTCGTAGAACTGATGATACAAAGATTTCTCACATTGACAATCCGAATTCTTTTCGTTTAGAATAATTCCCAATTGTACGAAAGAACGTCTCACAATTTTCTTTTACAATCGATCAATGAAAAAATGGACACAAACTGTGTAGACGTGTTTTAGGAACTTTTAAAATTTTTCCGAAATATTGGCATTTTGTCTAGTGTAAAGTTTATTCATTAATTCTGATAGTTACACTAACCGTGTTAAGAGCTCCGGCGAGGTATTTATAAGCAGGCAACGTGTCCTGCGTATCGGCAGTGCCGGTTCGGAGATGGCGGACCTGCGTCGCTATTGCCGCGACCAGTCTTTGTTCGTGCGCGGCCAACGCAGCTCCTCGCCCAGACACAAGTACACCGGAGATATGCGAAAGGGCACGGATTGCAGCCTGAAAATGAATGATGAATGAGATGAGATTCTTTACGTAAGTAGCAACACGAAAGTATGGATATGTGTGAAGAATGATGCGAGGAGGGAAAGATCTATGGCAATAGTGTAGGGAGTGAAGGTTTACTGACTCTGCCTACCGCAGTAGGGCATGGTAAGTTTTAATTGTCAATAAATTTATCATCATAATTCATTTTAAATGGTATTGGAAGTGTGGTATATGAATGAACTAAATGGTAACATAGCATGGTCTTTATTTATTTAGTATTGGTAAATACTTACATTCAAGTCAGGACTGGCGATTGAGTGTATGATGTCAGCGAGCTGTGAGTCGTCCACGTTGGGCTGAGTATGCACAGCGGGCGTAACTAGCGGGTGTGGCGCAGACATCGACACGAGGCGAGGCGGTGACGACGACGGTAGCACACTGCAATGAAGGCATGTCAATAATTTTAAAGGTCTTATCATTGTAGTTTATGCCATCTAAAAGCTAGAATTTCAAACTCACGGACAGTATTCTGAGACCGTTTTCCTGTAGCTATGACAGTTAGGGTAGCTGCCCTTGCTGACCAGTATCAAATTTCCCCCCTACAGATGCCTGCCTATTTCATGTGATAAGTATTGTGTATACATGTTGTATAACTTTCAAAAATAAAATAATATCTTCAGTGTAACTTCTTCGTGGGATGCCATCTTACAACGAAAGTACGCCACTAAACAATGGCTCGTGCAGAACTACTACCAAACTCTTCAACCATCTAGTAAACCCCTTAATAAACAAATTTGAAATATATATATGAAAGCAGCGTCACCATTTTTTTTTTTTTTTTTTGCCTGGGGAAATCTTCGCCGATTGGGGATACCTCTTCGCCGCGGGGGCAGATCTTCTATCGGCTAAAAATCCACGGTGGCCTTCTCGGGTGCTCTAGTGGGAAGGATCCGGGATCGACTTTGCGCACCAGAAGGAGACAACTGTCTCAACGGACTCTTGATCCGCCAACATAGCCGCTACTATGCCTGGCGGAGAGAGATATCGCCCAATCCGGGCAACCAGGATGTTCCGCTCGGAGGCCCATGCGGGGCACTCCTCCAGCGTGTGCTGGGCGGAATCCTGTTCCCTCCCATAGTGGTGGCACTGCGTTGTCGACTCGCGTCCAGACTTCGAGGTTGGGCAGAATCGCGCCGACAGCGCGCTGGCACGAGATCCACGGCTGTTCCAGCGTCTCGCGCCACTTCTCGAACGCCCTACGGCCCTCCTGCCGCCGCATATCCGGTGGCGCAGCTTTCTCCGCCTGGCGGAGGCGCGCGTAATCTCCGCCAGAAGCAGCGCCACCAAGCCTAAGATGACGGTACCTCTCTCACCTTTGTCTAACAGTTGGCAGCTGCGGCCTGTGTCGTGAAATGGCAGGCACCCCGGCGGCAGCCGGAATGGGATCGTCGAGGAACTTCAAGTCCAGTTCGGGCAAATCTGGTCGATTCAAAACCGGCACCGCTGCATCTAACTCTGCTATCAATTTAGGGTCCAGTCCGAATGGTCCAGAGATTACTTTCGCTTCCGGTGGTGGGCTAAAAATGAAATATCGTTGAAATAAAAAAAGGATGTACGACAGTGTTAAAAGACAGTGCGGACATCAGATTATATCAAAATACAGACACCACAGAATCAGTATTGTTACAAGCACTTACATATGCACCGGTGGCGGTGGCGGTTCTTCCTCTTCTTCGTCTTCATAATCACCGTTAGGAACTTGGTCTACTGATATCATGCGGCGCGAATCCCCTTCCTGTAACAACACATAAATGTATGTATAATTTACATACATTCTGTATGCCGCTTATTATATTATTTACTATATTCTCAAGCAATAATAATTAAAGCAAACATAGTACTATATTTGATCTCAGTTCAGATCTGCAAAAATGAACTGCTCTGATCGGTCGATCTTCGGTCACCGTCTAGTAGCGAGGTATTAAGAGAACGGAACGACAAGAACCAACCAGAAAGTGAAGGTATGTTGAGTAAAGATGATTTATACTATACAATAAACATATTTATTTTATTACTAGGCGGAATATCGATACCCTACCGCAGCGCAAGTATTTCTTACTTTTCAATTTCACAGTTCTGCTGCACATTTACAAAATTTTAAAATTGAATATTTTTTAAAAAAACTTAACGTCACAGCCTGTAACTTGGACTTCGTTTTTCACCAATTGTACTGTTTATGCTGGTTTCAAATTAAATGCATATTGGTTTAGGAACGGCCGCGTAATTTCGTTCGTAGATCGTCCAATTTTATTTCGAAAACTTCGCTAGCTGCGCTTCGATAACACTGTTAAAGTACCTATACTTACGATATCAGAGTGAGGTTGTATAGGTCGACCGGAAGCAGACAGAGGGACGACCATTGAGCGACGTACCTCCGCGCTGCGATTCTTGCCTGCCCGTTTAATTCGCTCTTCGAGTAGCGACAGGTCTTTGTCTGATATCTGTAGTAAAAACAAGTAATCACAATTTCATTGTCAGCTGGTCAATCATAACGCGATTTTGGACGTTGGCTTTTTGAGATGATTTCCAGAATGATATGTAACTTTATTACCTGTCCAATCATCTTGTAAACTTTCTCCCCCTCCAGGAAATAAGCGCTGGCGACGCAGTTAAGTGCGGCAGATCGCACAGCGTTGTCACGATCGCCAATGTGCCGCGCTAGCTCCTTTAACGCCACGGCGCCCGTCGGGGACATCACAGTAGACCCGTACGTTTCAATAAGGTGCCCGATGCATTCCAGACATTCTGTGAGAATAGAATGCTTACTCATTAGCTTGTACATTATAAGTTAAAAAAAAAATGTAATGGTTCCGAAATAAATTTATGTCAAAAATTTGCGAAAGAAAAATAAACCAAATATAGAATTACAGCTTGACCGCCTAACTTTAGTCCTCATATCCGATCTATTGAAGAATGATTTGGTTGAGATCATTTCCCTATGGCACACTATGTTAGAGTTAAATTTATGGTGGTCCGTTTATAGCTGAAGTAAGCAAAATTTTTTTTCCTGCGCCTGATGGTAAACTACACGCCTGTCCATAACAATTCCAAAATATGATTAAGCCACTCTTACCAGCTCTCTGTCGAGCGTTCTTAGACTTGAGTCCTTCCATCAAATAACCGAATAGCTTGGTAACGGAGTACACAACGCAGATTTGCTTGAAAAGAGCTTTGACGCCGTTACGAACAGTGTCTTTTGGATCTCCCACCTGATGAAAAGAGACAATTATTAAATCGATTATATTTCAACTAATAATAATGCATCAAATCAAAGAGCGCAATCTAAGTTCATAATTTGTTTAATAAATATTCATTAGCTGATAAATATTAAACTTCTCAGACAAGATACTAAAAGTAAATACAACAATGAATATTCTAATCATTCTCATTATGAAACAGAATAAAGGTCGTGACTAAATGCGTAACCCCAAGACTGCTCAATAAAATGCTAGGAATCTAATAATAGTCTAACCCTTTTAAACAATTAAACTATCTCGTCCAGCAAATAGTCAATTTTGGTCGCCTATTAGACTACACAACTTATACTCACATAATTTTATCTTTGATTGTGATTATAAGAGACAATTTTGTTTTTTAAATCTACATTTTATGAGCGAGGGACGAATAACATTATTCACATGTACCACGGAATTATAAAATCGGTCTATATTAAGACATAATGCAAAATGAAAATTACCTTTAAAACCAAATATGGTATGAAGCAATTAGCCTCATATTCAGCCATAGTATAATCGCTGTCCATCAAGAACTGGAACACCAACGACAAGTATTCCAAACCCTTCAATATTACCGAGGGGTTTGTGTCGAAGAAGCGCAGCGTCAGCCATTTCAGCACGAGATCCAAGTTCGCCATTAATGAAGGGCCATTCTCTTGGAGATCTTCAGAAAGTGCTTCTATTGCTTTTAGATGATATCTGTAAATGAGATATTTATTCGACTATGTTTTCGAATGCTGATTTTTTTCTAACTCGTTTTCTACGGCACTGATAATAGATACTAACCTAAAATCATTATGAAACATATTAGCAATTAACTGCTTATTCAATCCAGCGCTGGTCATCTGCTCCTTCAACAGCTCAAAGAACTCTTCACGGGGTGTAGTGAAGTTCCACTTGAGCACTTTGAGCTTCTGATCGTCGATGATGCGTTGGTTCTTGGCATTGTTGTTCGGTAGGAGAAAGCCACTATCTTCGTCGTCTTTCTTTCCTCGGCTCGATGCTGACGAGGGTTTTGCTGGAGCCTGGAATTTATATTAAAAAATAATAATAATTCACCACAATATGATACGAAGTGAGGAGACGAATAAGTCGTACGCCTGGTGGTAAACGCCACGCCTATCCATAGCAGTTACAATGCCACTCAGAGCTTTAAATCGCAAAGATATGAGGGGCACTGCCACGGCGCCCGTCACCCTGAGACATAAGTTGACGAGTCCCATGTGCCTGTAATTTAATCAGTCCTTCATCAGTCTAAAATGTTGAAAGCGCTAGCGACAACGTAAAATATCTATATGGCATATTAGTTCTTATGACCATTAGGGGCACAGTATTTTTAACGATATAAGCATTTAAAAGCCACGGTATATACGTACAGTGTAGCCTCTGCCTAACAGATAACCAGAAAAAGAATGTAGAGACACACAACATTCACACTAATTATAGATTCCCTCTATTGGATTTTTCCCCGTAGAATCTTGTCATCAAAGACGTCTATGTCTAATGATGTCTATTCAATATAGCCCAATTATTATTCTATGATCCTCAGTCCACTTAGTCAGGAATAAAATCCAAGTAATAACATGGACTCACCTTCCCCTTAACAACGGGCGCTTTCTTTTCAGCTTCCTTCTTGAGAGCCCCGGCGGACTTGACTCCGCGCTGCTGCTCTTCCTTGCCCTTGCCCTTTGGCGGTAGCGGCTGCACCGGAAGGTTTGGTCGCGCTTTATCCAAAGCTGCTTGGATTGTTGATTTTGACGCCGGCTGTACAATACAAAGCTAGTTAGCAATTTAAGCCCGAAAATGGAAATAAATTACTTTACACGATTTAACCTTCACAGCGTTCGCTACTCACATTGCAAATTACGTATATGAACATTGACTTACAAATAAATGGACGACGGGTCTAATACAAAAACCACGAAAAAAATGTCCCAAGTCAACCTATTCGAAATTTAAATTGTAATGTCATCGCAGTATCGCGCTGTCAGTAGAACAAATGAAGACTAAAGCGGAGTGTCGCGCTCTGTATACGATTTTAGCGCCTTACAAGTGCGGACACTTTTTAGCGCGGACCCGACGTCCATATATAATTGAGTCAATTAAGTTAAAAAATTAAGTCAATGTATATGAATGAAATTTTCTTTCCTTTGGAAAAACTGTTATTTAAAAAAAAGGACTTAGGAGGAAAAAACAACAAGGGAATTTACGGATCTTTTTAGTGGAATAAGATCATTCATTTATCGACCTCAAGACTAGTACGAGCCGGGCCGGTTCTGCAAGCCCTACTTAAGATAGGCTGTTGTTACTTCTTTCGCTTAAGTGTATGAAGTAATATAGGAAATGAAACTATTTTTCCGGATTTAAATCGCGTATATTTGTCAACCGTGATCATGGAAATGTAAAGGGCCCGAAACATTGGTTTGTTTGAAAAAACAAATATACGCGATTTAAATCCGGAAAAATAGTTTCACTTCCTATGTGTAACAATAGAGAAAACGTAAGAACTCGATAAGTATGAAATAATTTAAACATTGAACATTTTAAAAGATGTTTATGAATATAAGAATTTTTCTTCTGCTTGCACGACACTGACTCAGTCGAGAAATTGGTGACCTAGGGTCGTAATTACCATGTTTTGACGTATCGACGATCGCACTAAACTTGCAATAAAAAACCTATCGACGTAGTCTCACTTCTTAGTCAACAAGATATGTAGTGCTTCCGGGTTTGTACGACAGACGTAGTCTCTCTCTTAGTCAATAAGATATGGACCGCTTCCGGGATTGTACGACAACTTTACACAAAAATATGAAAACTATGCAGACGTAACAGTTTTATTTATTATTGACCTCAATAAGCAACTAACCTTGAGCTTGTCGAGCTGCTTAAACATAGCGTCGTAACCGAGATGCAGCATGAATGGGAATACACAATCAGCTGCTGCCTTGCGTACGTCGGCAGCACGATCTTCTATGCAAGCGAATAAAGTTGGCACGCATTGTGATAGCTCCTCGCGCGGGAATGACTTTGGTGGTACTGCAAGGAAATGCCAGCCCTTTACATCAAGTACCAAGTACAGATAACTACACGATCAGGCTGTTTTAGAGGCCATGGCCATGTATTTAATTCAAATATGCTTTCAGTCATGTTAATCCAAGCTAAGTTATGCAAAGGTTCCCAAATTTTTTTGTCCCATGGGTAACGTGCACATTTTCCTGTTTAGTGTAGACTTTCAGCCTTACCGTTTTAGGTTTTTTACAAATTCAACAACTTTAAATGTATTTATGACAACTAACACAGTGCTACTTACTAGAGATGAAACGGATATCCGGTAACTATACGGTATCCGGCCTATTTTTGCTATCCGGCCGGATATTGTTCTACTATCCGATATCCGGATGTTTAAAATTGAGAAAAATTCCTAATCAGTACGCCAATTTATTTATTGATTAAAGATGATAGTAATACGATAAATAGCAACTACAGGATTGTTGACAATCTGTTTATTACTTGAAACTGAAAGAACTGTGATGTTAGATAACGTTATCTGCAAATTTAGTACTCAAATTTCAATAAAGGTAAATTATGGTGGATGAAGACCAGTTGTTCTGCATTAAGTGGTAAAAATTGTTTATTCTTCTATTTATTTATTTAAGAGACCAGTTTCAGAGGACAATTTTTCACTATAAACTCTTGCAAACTTTGTTAAATTTTAAGTACTACTTGTTATTGCCCGAAGATCAAATGAAAAGATCGCGATCACGATCGATTTGACCGGTCTTCAAATGTGTAGCTATGAAACGCGTAGATAAAAATTTTTTTTGGCAAATCTGGTATCAAGACTTACGATTAGTTAGATCACAAATAAATTAATGAAATCAAATTGAAACAAAACAATAACGAGTGTATCAAGTGCTAGGCTTGTAACAACTAGAAATTTTAATATAGCCAAAGAATGATGTAATAGTTAATACTTTTACTTCTCCACCGCGAGAAATTTGCATTTGGCACAACAAACAAATATCACTGATATGAAAATATTCCCGAATTTGTGTTTTTTTACTGTTAACATTTTTCTGTTATATATTGCTTGTATTACCGAATAAATTAATAGTTTTTATAAAAACCAAGTGTGTGGTGACTTTAACACAAATCGTCAATGTGAAAGTACAATCATTCAGTAATCAATCAATCAATCAATGCGCGCTGTAAACCGGTCACGACATGTTTACGCCAGTGGGTCGGATATCCGGCTATCCGGCCTATGTGCCCGCCGGATATCCGGTAACCTGCCGAACCACTATCCGTTTCATCTCTACTACTTACTTTAATAAACTTAACTCTAGAGTGAGAAACTTTATAAAAAGGAACACACATTTACAGTACTGTTTTACACATTTATCTAACCGAAATATGGAGCTAATATCTTGTTTGTTGTGAAATGTTTATTTTTAAGTAACTTATGTCTATTATAAGAAAGTGTTATAAAAGCACATAGGTAACAATATGTATTGTGGATTATCCCATTTATGGTCATGATTTACCTAAATGGGATCCACTTCCACAGACCCCCATTAACGTCTTGTGCATCCCCTAGGTTTTTTGCTGATATAGACCTCTAGACTGGAGTGGACCTCTGGGGGTTGATATAGACCTCTTTGGAAATCATCGTGTTGATGAAACTTAAAACATAAATTATTTTTAAAATGTATTTACACATTGCGTCGGCTAGAATTATGTAAGCAGTTAAAGTTACCATTAGGAAGATGTTCAGCCAGCCACTGCAGCAACGTCGCTCTGAGAACAGGCGATCCGGCCTTAAGCGCATCGAGCACCATCTCGCCGTCGAACGGTGTATGCGCACCCGCCTCGCGGCACCATATCTCTATGCACGTCACCGCTGCTACGCGAATCCATTGCTTGCTGTCGCCGAGAGCTGAGATGAAACATTCGTAAATTATTTTGAATGTAAATTGATTATGTTTTTTATTGAATATTGTAATATAATAATGATGTCAATAATGACAAGTGCAGATTTTATACGAATATAGATAGTGTTTAAGTCGAATATCGACTGCTCTACACAGACTTCTACGTCAGTTCGTTCAGTTCCAAGCACACAAGTTTATTAAATCAGTCTTTTGTAGGTCTTTGGTTTTGACCGATAAGCCGTTGTTCAATTTGTCATAGCAATAATTTCTGACAGCTGCAGGTCACCAATCGCTCCTAACCTCAGTGATCAATAATTCCGCAGCCCGCTTACGGGCGATGATCGACTCAAACTCGACGACTATAATTTACATAATTAGTTATTAGTAAACAATTGTTCTCATTCAGAGGTTGCCAAACTTATTTGTCTGGTAGACCTCCTACCTTTCCAAATTTGTTTTTTTTTACAACTTCATCAACTTCAAATGTATGTTTGGCAGTTGGCCAGTGTCAGTCTGAAATTTGAAAGAACATCTAACCGAATATCTTATTTCTTCTGAAATTTTGAAGAACTTCATAGTTTTAACTGCCTCCGTGGTCGTGGTCGTGGTTACCATGCCGGACTGCCACGCAGAGGTCCCAGGTTCTATTCCCGGGTCGGGAGAAATATTTGTATGGCCTACATTTATTTCTCTCGTGAGTTTGGGTGTAATTTGTGGTTGTCTACGTGTGTGTCCATGGCACCCGCGACACAGGGTATCCCTAGTGCGGGGCTATGTTGAGTGTGTACATTATTATTATTATTATATTTTAGTTAACTTCTATGTCTGTTATAAGAAAGTATTATGTATTTACATAAGTATTAATCTGGTAATGTGTATTATTTAGTTTATAGAAAGCTAAAATTTTGGTCACAACCTACCTAAATGTGTTCCATTCTCAAGGATCCCCATTAAAGTCTCATGCACTTTTTTTTCACTGACGTGGACCCCTTGTTCGTGTTAGAGAATCTATGGGGGGTCGATCTAGACCACTTTGGGAATCATTAATTTAATTTCAATCACTCACCTTGGAAGAAAGCGGGGAAGAAAGTTCTAACATGTTGCTTGCACTTGGGTCCCATAGCAGTGGCCAGCAACTCGCAGATACCGAGAGCAGACTGTGCTAGTTTCGAGTTTGAGTCTACCAATCTCGAGGCCAATGCCGCGGGTAATTCACCAAGTGTGGCTTTGATTGGTGAAGAATTGGTGATGATTGCTTTCACTTTGTCCAGGGCTTCATTGCGAACCTAAAACGTGTTTTAAGTATAAATAATGTGACGGCGTTTGCTTTTATTGTCTTGTCAAAATCCCCGGTTCGATTACCATTTGGAAATCTACTTTTCTAAATTGGATCTGTGGTAGGTGTTCTGGATATAGAGAGTTAATTTCGTTGCTCTGGTATACATAGCACAGGGAATTCCCTAATTTGGGACCAGGCGATTGGTCTGGTTATAAGGCACGTTATTGTCTAAATGCAATAGGTCAGCTCTTCAACTCCTCCAGCAACGTCTTATTCTGAGTTGTTTTTTTTTTCACATTATAAATTATTAATAGCTACCTACTTTACCTCTTTTGACACAGCTATCTACTTATTTATGGGACAACAACAGCTTATTATTACTAGATTAAATTGAAATCATATAAAACAGAACAAACCAATATAGTTATCCTCTAATTACATGCGAGATGTACTGATGAAGTACTGCAAATTGTGCACCAACTAGTACACTAGATAATAAATAAACTAGACGATATAATAATAATAATACATAGACAATAACAACAATACGTAGATATTTACACATACATATATACATACATATATACATTATTATATAATTAAGTATATAATAAAGATTCTCTTAATAATATTATACGAATATAATAAAATTTAACAATTAGCTACTATATATTGCGTTTAATACTTCGGAGTTTAATTTTGGATTGGAATGATGGATTTTTCTAGCTAGTTAAAACTACGGTGTAATACAGAATGCAAGTGAAGCAAAATCTAAGTAAAAACAGATAAGCCCTGAAACTTAGGCTCGTTTCAGAGCAGTGTGGATTTATCTCCGGACTGTCCGCGCGGAGCACCAGAGCGGAGTAACTCGTGGCGTTAGAACATCGTTTTGCAGTGACGCGGATTGCTCCGCACGGAACACGCTCCGCGTCAACTCCGCACAAGCCACCCGTGCGTTCATTGTAGGCGACTGTCTTCCGTGAATACCCGTACTATATTAAATACTCCATTCAGAGCAATGCGGATTCTAGGCATGCGGATGGCCCGCAGGCGGACAGTCCGTACGCACAGCGGTGAAACAAGCCATAGTAAAAACAGATATTCCTCTCAGAAATCTAACCTTCCAGTTCTTGTCGTTAAGCTCAGCAATAAGAAAGTCAGTGATGTGAGGCGCTATGTCAGTCCTGGGCCGGTTGTCCTCCACGATGGCAGGTTCGTCCTCTCCTGCGTCCTCGAACGGCTCTTCGATTTCGTCGCCCATTGAGCCTTTACTGGCCGACTGTATATTACGAATCATTTATAAAAATGCGTACTTTTTTTATTACTTACCCTTCAAAACCGGAACATAGTTAACATTACTGCTTGGCGGCAGAAATAGGTAAGGTGGCAGTACTTCCCTGAACGAACTCTTTCACAAAGAGCTCTACTGGTTACATAACAAAGTAAGTCAATATTTTAATATCGATATTGCTTCTTGAGATGGACGAGTTTGTTTTTTTACGATTGTTTTTCTTCTACATAAAATTCAATATATTCTAAAGGATATCACTTGTTTCCTTTTTTTTTTTTTTCAAAAATGTCATTAGTCTCGCACCTACCAGTAACAAATAACTCATGGAAAAATCTATAAAACGATCGGAAAAATGCAGAGTAGAGTTGTAAAGTAGATTTAGTAGGCTCTAATTGAACTGTAATACAAACTCTACAGAAAAACATCGGCGATTTCTTTAATTCTGCTATTCACTTATTAAATTAGGCACATACTACTAAAAGGCAATAAAAATGTATTTAAATTGTCATGCAAGGTCCAATATTTTATGTACAGTATTGAAAATATTTCAATGGTCTTACCTTTTTGACGCCTGCACCAAATTGTCTAGTCGGCGTCGGCGGTGTACTATTAGCGTATTTATCCACCTCCAAGCTGATAAGCTGTTTCGTCGCAGGCTTCTCGCTATCGAAGTGATTCACTATGGATGGGCCCACGTATAATGATAGTATACCGAGGAAATTAACTGCTGACGTCCGTACATTTGGGTTCGTAGCAGATAGAGCCTTCTTTGAATGTGCTACTATGGCATTTATTTTCATTCTGAAACGAAATTTATGGCATTACGTAATCGTCATTGCTATAACAAAAAGTTTGTCTTAACTCTGGGCTACGAAATATAAAAAATGCAACAGACGTAATGATTTGGAGGCTAATCGTGCAACTTAACCAACAATGAAATAAAAAAACAATTATAAGGCTTAATTTCGTCTAAAGAGTGTAATTTCTGAAATGTAATTTCTGTGTAATTTTTCATGACGACGATAAAATATGGTCCAAAATATAGTAAACTAAACAGTACTTGGCATATTAATTATTTCAATTATACCACTTTCACATGCCATATTACTTTAAAAATATATTTAAGCAAGAAGTTTACTAACAAACTATGTAACAATGATAATGATAGATTTTCACTCTAAGGTGACAATAATAGGTTTCAGTAGAACCTGTAACATGACGATTAGACCATCGTTACATGATTTATGCTGCAGCAGACCAAGACCATTGAGGGTACTATTCTAACTTGAAAATCAGCCTGTTGTTCAGGAGACAGGTTAATCACCCCGTTACGCTTTTAAGAACATTTAAATTAAGTGAGAACAAACTAGACGGTTCGACGTATTTAAACCATAGGAAAAATTGGTATTTGGACATAAAAAAATACGAACGCAACTTGTTTTGTAACTGATAGTGAAAACAGAAGATACCGGCAATGAACTATGAGATCCGAAACACAATTTACAAAAAATCACGCGATAAAATATCACAAAAATTACACACAATTTTAATTTGTAACTTTTATCTACAGATATGTAAGTTTATAGATTGTTATTAGAGAAATTTTAATGAAAAAATTTTCCTTGTTCCGTAATAAATACGTCAAGGGACTATGAGCCTATTTTACAGTAAGAGAGTATATTTGATTTCTAAATGGCAAATGTTTCAAAATTATTTCCGAATTTCTCCGCATCTACCTCACAGGCAAAACGTACGCAACCACGACAACACTCCGCCTTAAGCGACTCCTAGATAGTACTTACGACAGTCCAAACTCTTTGACAGCAATAAACATCCAGTTAAACATTTCACTCTGCACTTTAGGATTCTTCTGCTGGTCCATGGCGTAGGTTAACCCCTCGTTGATTACATGCTCTAGTCCGCATCCTTCGGCAAGTGATGTTAGGCATTCGGCGGAAATTGCCGAGCAAGATGTCTCGCCAAGCTTTGCTACTACGTCTTGTAAAACGAAGTCTGCTGCCGTCCTGGTACATGTTACAGAAAAATAAATGTTTTGTATATTTTATTAATATTTGTATTGTTTGTGATGATAAATAAATAAATGTCCGATAAACTCTTTTATTTACGTGGTTTAAACTTATAAATTCCCTATACACTGAGAAATTAAATACTATCAAAGGCAGTGCTACTCACAGATATGGTCGCAAAGTGTGACACGTTTGAACCCATTTAAAAACGTTTTTATTGGAAAATTAGTTCTACCAAGAATCAAAGTTAGGAGTATGTTGGGACCTATCATTATAGTTCAACAAATAAGTCACTTACGTGGAAACTGGGAAGTTTTCGGTAATGTACTTGCACGCCTCAAGCCTAGCTTTGAGAACTTGTACGTTAGTGTCCTTTAAACCAGGTTTTTTGTTTAGCACGCGGTACAACACTTGCGACGTCACATCGCTGGGTGCTAGACCTTGCATAGTTTGGGTAAAACCCTGGACCGCTAAGAGACGGTTTTTCCAGTTGCTGTCCACGAGGCCTGGAAAAAAGTAATAGTGAACATAAGAGTGTTTTTTTTATTTTATTTAATGTCAAATATGAAATTTGGCAGTTAAGGTTACAAATGAGATTCAAAGAACCGTTCATTACCTGAAGTGACGTCAACAGGGAACAGCTGCTCTGCTCTGACATCGACTTCTTCCTGCGAGAGCTCTTGTTCACGCGGCGGACCGGTAGGTGCGCGACCTGCGGCTTTTTTTGCACCGCCTACACCTGCTTTCTTTATAGTGCCTAAAAAAACATTAGATATATTTAAAGATAATCAGGCAAAACTACACTGCTGCTACTACTACACCAAGAACACAAGCCCTAATAACACTTAAATTAAAATTTAAAAACCCTAGATGTGTAATTTTCAGGTTAGTTTTCTGTAGCTAATTTCGTTGACAATTTTTATTATATACATATATACAATATATACACATATATAATATATACATATAGAATGTATATTATTATAATGTAGTATTTATTAATATCCGAGTGTAGTACGTATCCTAAAATATTACTTAATATTTTAGGATATGGGTGCTGGTGAAATTACAGGCACATGGGACTTGTCAGCCTCAGGGTGACGCGGCCGTCAGTGGCAAAGGTCTTTGCGATTTAAAGCTCTAAGTGGCAATGCAACTGTTATGGATGGGCGTGTCGCTTAATACCAGGCGCACGACTTGTTCGTCCCGTCAAATGATAACAAAAACTAAATAACAATAATTGCCACCGAAATTAGGTACAAACTTATAACTCCCTTATTTTTGCGTCAGGGGTCAAGACAATGGAGACGAGAAAGGTGTTTAAATAATCAATAGGAATTTGTTATTTCCACTTATCTGAAGGGAGATGTTAAAATAACGGAATTCAATCTTATAAAAAAATTGCTTAAACAAGTCTCCTATATAACGGGTTTATTTATTAACTTTAACGTGGTCAGACACGTTTGTCATTAAGTGTTTTCGATAGTCAACTTCTTGAAACTTACTCGTGACAGGTCTTTTAACGGGTTTCGGCTGCGAAGATCCAGCATTTGATTTCGTATCACCCTTAGCCATGCTCGTCACATTCGGCATTTTTGGTTTCGCTTCTTTCTTTGGCCCAGCTATTTTCACTTTTATTTCCGCCTGTAACAGATCAATTTTTATTAAGGGAACAAGACTTATACTCCGTCCAAACATTTATTTAAGTTTTTCGACGCGAGTATTTCACTAAACTTTGGGCACTGCGTCTAATCTCTAGTTTAAAATAAGTCTGATAATTCAGGGAGTAAAACTGTACCTTATCAGCAAACTCTTTGATTTTCTGCTCCTTAAGATTGTCAATTTTACCAATGTGAGGTGCGATGTTCTTTTCTCCTACCAGTTTGGTAGCCGTGCCTAGAGCTTCGGCTGCTGCGTCACGCACCGCAGGGTCTAGAAATATAATTAGTTTTTAAACATCACTTGTTTTGATTGCCTGAAAATTAATAACATCGACTATGAACCTGCAAATTATTTGTTTTAACGCAACTGTGCCGCCTAGACGTAGTGACTAAAATTTTATCGTTGTAAGAGAAAGATTAAGCTTCTAAAAGTGTCTTCATGCATAAGTAATCTTCTAATAATTAGTTATTTCGACTGTCCTAAAAGCTGACAAGAAAGATTTTGATCTTTGTCATGATATAGAAATTGAAATAATTAATTTCATCTCGATACCTCCCTCCATTACCTACGCCAACTTAATTTTTTGGTCAATTTCTGTTATATTTATTTACTGATATTATGCTCCCCGAATTTTGTGAAAAAAAAAAACAAAGAAAACACAAAAAACCACTTTTGTGTCAAACAAAATAAAGAAACATAAAGCAAAATAAAAACAGAACTGGTCAAAAAATTAAGTTGGCGTAGTGTTCCTTGGAGGTGTCGATCTAACAACAATACGAGCATCAATATCACAAGTCGATCACGAGTTCAAAGTACAAAAGTAACAACTTTTAATTTTATTTGTAGCATTGTCACCAAGAGACATTATCCAATCCTGTCGAAAGAAAATTCAAGCACATAATGGTGTAAACAAAAGTATTGCTCGGCGTTTAAAAAATGAGATAAGTCTTCATTGTTGTTTATGAATGGTAGAAATGAGTGTCTCCAATTCAGAATTGCTCAGCATTCATTTCCATTTCATAATCATAATCGAGATACTTATAATATTTATTATTTTATTAAGTACTGCAACACTGTACTTGACAAATTTTTACAATATAGCACGAGAACACAGTGACGCCTTAATTTTTTCAAGTTATGTTTACAACCCGTAAGTGCAACAATAATCATATTGTGATAACCCTACCCTCCGAGTGACGATTGACGCGCCGAACAGGCGGAACTTGGACTAATTAACTTGACCAAAAGTAACTATTTATCAGCCTTTAAAACAAAAATCTGTCCATTTTGACTACAATTTGAGTAACGATGTAAGTATGAGAATATTACCAGCGCTTTCAAGTAGTTTCAGCAGTCCAGCAACGTAAGCTTTGATAAGCTTCTTGTTGAACGCCGCGGGCTGAGTGACGCAGAGTGCCCGTGCAAGGAACAGTGCCGACTCCGTTTTAATTGAGGGGTTTTTGTTGTCGAACGCCGCTAGCATATCCTCCATTATTGCTTCCAGGTTGGTCTATTGATAAACATAAATCGATGCCTTATTTTCTCAAACTCGTAACTTATAAAGAGTATATAATTATTCAAGAGGTGGCAAAACTTTCCCTTTATTTTAAATTTCTAATCGAGGGCGTTAATTTGGAAGCATTAATTTAAGAATAGGTAAAAGTCAGTATGTGAATGTTTAGGAATGTGATGTGAAATCAGCCTGCAAAATTTGTATACACAATCCATTTTTTGCATTTCAGTAACTTTGTGCTTTAAGATACGAGTTTGAGAAAGTAAGGCGACGTAATGAAGATAATTTCAGTGGAAAATATTAAGTTACCGTAAATGCTAACTGTAGTTACGGTTTTGAAATTTATATCAATCTATGCTTGAAATAGTCAACGACTAAAAAGTCGTTGAAAAAGCAAATACAAAGACACGACGCAAGCACATAGAAAAATTCGTGAAGTCCGCTGGTTCATTCCGTGGCTTAGTTGGTATAGCGTCTGCCACGGTAAGCTAGAAGACGTCAGTTCGAATCCGGCCGGATCGAAGTAATTTTTATCTGAGTGTTCGATCTTTGTATTAATAATTAGTCGCCGACAATTTAGTCATTGATTACGTAACAATTGTCAAAAAAACCATTATTCTAATTTAAATTTATATACAAACCTTCACGATGATTCTACCATATTTCTTTGCAGAGAAAAAATGGCAAAAAGCTCATCGGTGAACAGATAGACATTTTCAGAACTGATCGCAATCATTATACATACATATCTACAGCAAAAAGTAATCTTATAAACGCTAAAATAAAGCTTGCCATCTCATGCAAATGTCCTCATTGATAGCTCACGGTTATACAAGGAACAAAAATAAAATTATTTATTGACATCATATATTTATTAATTATTATATTATTATCTCATTCTACGACCAACAGTGGAGAATTATGGTTGAAACATTTTCATGACTTATTAAGTGAAGGAACTAAGAATATGACTCAACCCATCCTAAGCAAATTAAAAATGCTGAAATTATTCAACTTACACAGGGATAAATAGCATCGATTGCCTCTCGAAGCGCGGCCACAACGTTGCTCTTCTTCTCCTTGAACTTCTCCAATATGGCCTGTACGCACGCCGTGGCGTAGGGAGAAAACTTATTGCGTAGTCCGTTGGCCACCGCTCCTAGGAGTCGTCCGCCTAGAGCCACGAGCATTACGTTTGTGTCTTTGGAGATCACCTGGAAAAGGAGAGGCGTTCATGAAGTCTTCCGCTTGACAGAGAAAAAGTGGATTATTCGGACAACAAGACAAGCAAGCACACCATATTGTGTACAAAAAAATATTTAAAAAATTCTAAGTAACATAATTTGTATCTTGTGTTTTTAGTTTCATTTTAAGTTTACATAACAATGAATTTTACATAGAACAGCACAATCATTATTATTAAAGTACACAAACGGCATAAATAATTTCTCAAAATAAACTCTTACAATACTCTTCAATGTTAAGTGATATATTTCAAAACAAAATCCGCAAGACGTGTATAAAAAACGTTAGGATAATACGCAAAGGTAATGAGAAGCATTCATAACATTTACCTTCTTTAAGGCCCTGACCAAGTCAGCGTAATCTCCAGATTCAAGTTTGGGGGAATTTTTCAGCAAATTGTCTAAAGAATCTAATGCCTCTTTCCTTTCTTGCCATTTCTTGGCTTCTAGTTTCTCGTAGAAGTCCTTAGGTAGTTTAGAAAGTATTTCCACGGGGTCAAGAAGATCGAAAGGATCCATGTCTCCGGAATCTCCAGAGCCAGCGTCTACATCATCGTCTTCTGGAGTACCTGAATGTAAGGAATTAAGATAATATAAGAATATAAAGTCTCATTTAATTTGAAGACAAATTATATTTACAAATGACAGCCCTAATATCGATTCCAGACGTCAAATGTTCGTGTTGTTCTTTGGAGTGTCATTTTAATGTTTTTGGAGCCACATTGCCTTTTTATTTTTAAAGGGCTAGAATACAAAAATATGGTTGTCATCGATGAAAAATTTTTACCAGGTTTTACAACATCAAATTTTCAACAATGACATCATATGGAAATGACGTTTAGTACATACACCAGTTCCAAAATTGCATAATCGATCTTGATCAATGAAACGTTTCTTTTAAGCTTTGGGCATTTAATAATGAAAATGCACGGTGGCACGAATTATGCGTCCGGGAATGTACACAAATAAGAATCTTAACCACTTTTGCTTGCTTGAGACACTATTAAAAGTCCCCTCGCACATCTCCTTTCAGACAATATCGGACAGAGTAATTGCGAATGTATTTATATTTAGTGTCGAGATAACTTGAGAGGTACATCTACACATTTCAACTTTTTTTAACCCTATTTTTAAAGAAGCTCTTTATACAGGGTTAAGAACAAATCAAGCTTGACATTTAAGTTTTAAATTCAACTCTATGATGACGTTTACAATAAGAACACAATGTCAATGTTGGAGATATAATACAGGGCAAAACAATACAAAGAAACCCCAGTTAAACCACTAATTTATCTTTCACACGATATTCAATGTTATTAGTACAATACTCATTATTTTACTAAAACATAAAATATAGCCACGTGGAATAAATAAATTTAAAAAAAAAAATTGCATACGAAAAAGCGCTTATTTTAATTGTACTGCCGGTAATAAGGAAGGTATGGCACGAGGCCAAGTGTTCGCGCACGCCACGCCGGCGGTGAATGCATTTCGCTAATAATACGATAAGTTTTATCACAGCGGCGGTGTTATTGACAGTCATAAATTGTTTGCTTATTGTTTTGGTACTTATTTAAAAAAAACAAATAACTATCACATACGAATTGTAGCATAAAACGTTTGTAGCAGTATTGGTTTGTATGAAATTGCACTTTGCATACACGGCTGTCGCATTGACGGGCAACTGCGATGCTACAGCAGTGCGTTGAGCTGTAATCGACTTCATAAAAGCAAATGCGATGCTCAGTCACCTCTTAACCGAAATAGAGAAGAGTTATGTATCTCATTCATAATATATTTATACCATTTAGTAAATTAAAACTAGGTAAATAACTCCCCCAACTAGTGTATTAATTATAAAAAAATCAAGCAATTGTACTCCATAATATTTACCACTAAATTAAGCCAGTTATTAAGCCGCATTAAATTTTAATATCCCTCAAAAAATACCACAGGCGAAAATCGTTCATTTGTTCTTTTTTCAGTTTTTGTTAAAAGAAATGGAAACTTGTCTTGTAGAAGATAACGTTTATGTTGCATTCCTCGTTCTAATGTAACGCAGTGTCGCGTCGACGGCCTGCAGCATTTGAGGCGACTCTTAGTTGTTGTGGAGATAAGTCGCTATTCTAAAAAGTCTCTAATGTGTACTGTATAGCAGGGGAAATGTACACGTTCTATGTCGTATAACGACGACATACATAGCCGTCGTCCTTGTGAGCGATCTCCGATTTTTTTATTATTTATAATTCTAAGTGACGGGACGAACAAGTCATGTGCTTATGGTAAGCGACACGCTTGTCCATAACAGTTGCAGTGCCACTCAGAGCTTTAAATCGCTAAGATCTGATGAGCACTGTAACTGCGCCCGACAACCTGAGGCTTACGTTGACAATGTGCCTGTAATTTCACCAGCACCCTTACCCTTCAAAACCGGAACACAGTAATACTGACATTACTGTTTAGCGGCAGAAACAAGTAAGGTTTTTTTTGCTTTGTTAATATTGATGGAAGTCTGAGAATACATACCATCTCCGGCGTCGGTTGCCGGTGTAACCCTAACACGACTTTGCTGTGAGCGCAAATACCGAGTTGGCTGGGCACCTCCTGAACCTCCAAATGCTTCGCGAAGTTCTTGCTGCATCACTGCTTGAAGGGAGGCAATGTGCGGCTCTATTGCCGGTCCAATCCACCTGTTGCAACAAGAGAAAATTGGTTATAAAGTAAGCTTACTATACCATAGTATAAGACAAACAGTGTGACTATAAACAAACGTAGCAGCGCGGCAGGTATGTGTGCCCGCCCGCCGCACGCCGCACGCCGCACGCACACATTCGTATAATCTCGCGTTGCATAGCGCGTCTCACGCGCCATTCGTTATAAAAGCGTTCGCTCAGTGTTTAAAAAATGACGTCCACTAGTAAGTTTATTATAGTTGTTTGAATAAGAGTGCCTCAAATTTAGAATTGTTCAGCATTTCATTTCTATTTCATAATTATACTCCCATAATCGAGACACCAAGCCGCGATGCTTGTATAAAAGTATCAATAAGTAAGTACTGCTGTTAACAAAGGTTATTTCAATATAGTACGAGAATACTGTGATAAACAACTTAATTTTTACAAATTATGTTTAAACCTGTGCAACCAAAATAATAATGTGACAACCCTACGCTGAGAGGGAAGTGTAGGTGTGTAGAATATTTTTTCTTTTTTCTCAAGCGGTTCATTTATTTGCAACGCTGCATTGGAAAAACAACTACAACACAAGTTTAACCTCCACACGATTGGCGGAGTAGCAAATTAATTTACTTCCATTTTAATTACCATGGACTTCTGCAAAGCAACGCCTGAACATATTAATTACAGCGTTTAAGTCGCGATAGTAGAAATTTGCTTAGCAAATTTTAGGTTTCCTTGCGACCGCTAAGTATTTTTTATAGAAATGCTTCTCGTGCCAGTATTGTTAAATTAATAAGTAGTGTACACAAACCTGTGCATCTCAATAACTAGCGCCTTCATTTCATCTCTCACTCCCTTATCCCTATCCGTGAGCAGTACTGGGATTTTCTTCACCATCGGTTTGATCGCGATGACTTTGTTGCCAAACTGCCTGAGAGCGGTGGTCAACGCGGCTGTACAAGCTGCCACTACTTTTGGGTTCTTTTGTTCCATGCCTTTTAGCAGCTCCTCTTCTACGATGTCGTGTTTTTCTATCTCGACGTACATCAGGGTTAACTGCAAAAAAAGATCAGTTTGATAAAGAAAGCCAAATAAAAGCATTGTGTACAGGGAATACATAAGTTATATGATGTTATTATTTGGAAAATACGGCACCGATATGAGTGACCATCAGGATGACACGAGATATGCTAATCAAACCTCCGTGAGTGATTGTGTTAGATGGTAAAACATTAGCAATTACATAGAGAAAATAACTGTCATAAACTTTTCCGCGGGCGCGTTAATGTATTTTTTTAACTTTCTAAAGAAGTTTCCTAAAAGAGTGAAAAAAAAAGTTTGGATAGCAAATAAACAGAAGGATCAAAGACGTAAATGATAAACAATAGTGAGAAAATAAAAGTGTACAGCCGACCTGACGTCAGCATGATTGGTCACTTTAATCCTTTCGATATAGTCATTATCGCCAAGGTAGCAAATATTTTATTATAGGTAGCAAATAGGTAGTAAATAAAGCGCATAGTTTGATTTGCATATCTCATTTGGTCCGGTCATCCTGACGGTCACAAATTTTCGCAAAATAAGATGTATAGAGAGTATATTTACTAAAACTTTTAAATTTGAAATTATTAAAACTTAAAGGCAATAAAACCGAATACCTATATGCATTTTTATTGAATTGATATTCAATTATTTTTATGTGCAATTGCTCCACCAGTTTGTTATAATTATTAATACCAAGATCGAATACTCAGAAAAAATTCCTTCGATCCGGCTGGATTCGAACCGACGTCTTCTGTCTTTACCTATATTCTTAGGAAAAGACCTATATTTTTAATTGCAATTGGAAAGCTTTTCTCTAAATACACTACCGTAGTGATTAATAGATGCATATTAAAAATATAGAACAAAATACAATTTCAGAGAGAGATTTTGTGTTATTTCATTGACCTTTAAAGTCTGTCTAATCGGATCTCTGGTGAAGTTTCCAAACTTATTTAATAAATGATGATCAATTACTAAGTAAATTTAACATACGTGTCCCAGTAAGATACCCTCGGAATAAAGTAACTCCTCTATCTACCGCTTCGAAACACAACAGTGTTCGGTTCAAATTCTCCCGTCTCCAGACTGTGCAAATTGGTATATGAATATAGTGACCGACTAGATATTCACAATGACTCACCTAACAAGATTCGCTCTATTATAATAACTCCCAATTAATTACAATTAAATATACATTTTTACCCCCGTAGTTACTTTTTTACTTAACAAATATTTCCTACAATTATGATGTTCTTGTTGTAATCCAATGTTTCATTGCATCTTTACTTGTATTTTTTTTAAATTTACTGTTGTTATTAACTTGATGTAGTTTCAAGTTGTCAATTGCATTGTCCATCATGTAAAAATTGCAAGTGGTATTTACCTGTAATTGTTTGATGCATTTTTTGCTAGCATAAGTTCCTATAATTGTAACAATGTACTCATGTGTTGGTAAATCTTAAATAAATCCCTTGCAAATATCTATGAAAGGATGCAAGATATTAACATTCGAGTCTACATATTTATGAGATAAGTTATTCAAACATATTTAATAACGACAACGACTCATCGTAGCTATTAGTAGACATGTCCCCTACCCACTTTTGGCCAGTAACATGTTTAACGGATGTACAAGTTAAAACCCGGTTATGTGAGACAGCAGTAATAAATTTCTACTTTTCACTAGGTTTTGTGACGCCATCAAACGATGGCGGGCTCGTCAGGTTGTATTTTTTAATATAAGAACGAACAATAACTTTTCAAGTATTTGAAAGTTATTGTAAAAAAATAACATTGACATGTACAAAAAATCCTTAGCATTTCTGTTTATCGTCAACTCACTACACGTCCCATTATTGGGCACGGGTCTCATCTAAGGAGAAGGTTTGGAACCGCTATATTCAACCATTTTTCTTCGGATCACATGTATGTTCGCTGTTATGCGGGCCGCAATATTTTTGGGAGATGGCCTTTTTTACGTCAGTCGGGGACCTGGTTTTACATTTACACCCGTATAATAAATAAAGCACAAACGTAAATATGTCAAAACGATTATTTAAAATTAACGTGATATTCGATACTGCGACTAATTATTTACTATTTTCCACAAGTAATTAATTAATTATTTTATTAATTTTATGCGGAGGGAGAGTGAGAAAATTAACTACATGAAAAAAATATTCAACACAGGCGTAGTTATTTTGCACGATTTAACCTTCACTGGGTTCACGGAGTAGCAAATTAATTTATATCTATTTTTATTTTACGCAAATCGGGTTTATAATACCTACATGCTCTCAATAATACGTCATTAAGGTGAGAATCAGTAAGCCGATTCTGTATACATTTTTTGTATATTTCATTTTGGAATACGATGATTCAGAAAGACACATTGATGCGAACAACGTGAGCAATAGGTAGGCACATTTGGTAAGTTCCAAATTCGGTGTACTCCATTTCCTTTAAAAATAGCTTCCATATTCATATTGTCATTAAATTTGATAAATTTATTTATTTAATTAAGTGTTTTATTGAATGTCAGGATGTTTCACCACGACCTGCGGACTCCCCCTCGGGTTTCAGGCACCTCGTCCTGCTGGACGAGGTGGCGAAGATCCTGGATTGAATCATCGCCTCCAGGATCAACGAACACCTGAGGAGACAGACCCCGATGTGTCGCAGCGGCAGTACGGGTTCAGGGCTGGACTCTCCACTCTGGACGCCCTGGAGTCGCTGCGACACATCGTGGAGGAGGGTAACGGCGAGGGGGAAGGCGTGGTGGCTGTGTCGTTGGACATAGCCAACGCCTTCGGCACTCTCCCCTTCGCCGTTATCAGGGAGGCGCTGAGGTACCATAATATCCCCAGGTACCTCAGCCGTCTGGTGGAGCACTACCTGGAGGACAGGGTGGTGCTCTACCAGACGAGGGAAGGGAGGCGCGCCGAGCGCCCAATGAGGTGCGGAGTACCCCAGGGGTCCGTATTAGGACCACTACTGTGGAACCTGGGGTACCCCAGGGGTCCGTATTAGGACCACTACTGTGGAACCTGGGGTACGATTGGGTGCTGAGGGGCGCGCTGCTCCCCCGGACGGCGGTCATCGCGTACGCCGATGACACGCCATGGTGGCCGTCCGGAGGACCACCTTCCAGGAGGCGGCCCGAAGAGCCTCAGTAACGGCGGACATGGTGGTCCGCCGAATACAACTGCTGGGGCAACTTATCTCAGGGTGACAGGCGCGGTGGCAGTGCTCCTAAGAGCAAAAAAAAAATTAAAAAAAAAAAGGAACCATTCTGTCATTAGGATAAAAGTCTGTTTCGAAACATAGTCAATGAACCCGGGCGGTTATCGCCATTGATTGGAGGCCGGGCATTCACACTTGCTACGTATCGAGCTAGAAATAATCTATAGTTACGGTTGAAGTAACTAATTTGTGACCCAGTTCTTGCCCTTCAATTATTTCGCTACGGAAATGTCACTGTGTGTTCTTTTCTAAAAGCCCAAATTTCTTGCACAAAAATTTGGAATAATGACGTAAAATAAAAAATATTATCAGCCCAGACAGTGAGGTCCGTACTTTGTTAGTAGTATTAGTATTAATATTAGTAACTTTTGTGACGGTGTGACCTCCTTACATCGTCATTCCACCTTTTTATCTCCTTTCTCCGGTTCCTGGCCACTCGTATTTAAATTTAAGTTTTGAATTGTTCTATAGCTCTTCTGCCTCGCATTCTGATTTTGTTTCGTTCCACTCTCACTCCCTGCTCGATCGCGACAGCGTACGGAGCTGGTTAAAATTCAATCGCGTCTAATTTTGATTCCTTTTATATCCACTACAGCCTTATCATGTACCTATGAATACGTATCTGTAATTCAGTATAACTCGGCCCTTTTAGGGGTAAGTGTCTAATTAATATCTTTTTCATCAAGTTAGGAAACGTAGTGTTTTATAATAATGTACCTGTTTTCTATGTATACCTTATATTGTTACAGCCTTACTTCTTGTTACCTTTCTTCTCTTTAACCGACTTTAAATAAATTTGTGAACCTGAAGTTTTCTGTTTTACTGCCGTGAACCTGGTCACGGCTTGTTAGGGTTACAACCGTTTCACTTTTGATTATTGAGATACATAATGCCCAAACGTAAAATATTATCATAACAAACGTAAACGAGTTTTATTGTTAAGTATCAAGCAGCTGACATTTTTCAAAGAAAAAAACCGCAAATGCGTTAGTTATGACGAGAGGGGCAGCATACTTTGGAAAATAAAATTAAAATCTTCAAAATGTCAATCTCGACATTCTTTAAAACACATAACCGAATCTAACTAAATTAATAAATTATAAACAAAATTTAAAAATTGTCGTAAGTAAAAGTTTAAATTAATTAAATTTACAAAAACAAATCAAAATTCCAATTAACGAATAAAATCATGATAATTATTATTCAGTAAAACAGAATTGAAATCAAAATCGATCTCAATTGTAAGACCGATGTTAAGAAGCATTTAAGAAGTAACATCTTGCTTCAGTCTTTTTGGATGAATATTACTTGAGAGCCCAATAACAAACTTCAATCAGCACTGAAGCTACGACTTAAGATCGTTAATAAGTCCTTAAGTGCCAGGTCTTGGTGACTTGAGGTGGTATCTGTCAATATACCAACGATTATATTCTATTAATAATGGATAGATTGAGTAGGGTTACCATGCGTCTGGATTCTTGATGTACGGCTTTTTGACCTACTGTCCGTATTTTATCAATATTTGTCATCTGTCCGGATTTTTCGGCTTATAAGGAAAAGTTTTGCTAACACATACGTATACAATTTACAATGTAGTTTTGCTACATACGCATAAAATTTACAATGCAAACACGCTAAAAATCAACTCCATCTTAAACATTTATTAAAATCAAGAAATTAAACGGAATAGCCAGCGGGCATGAGAGTGGTGCTCGCACTCCGCGTTTACAGTTAATGCGTGAAGTCGATCTCGGCTGTACGAAGACGGTTTCAAATGCGTGAAGTCGTTATCAACTTCATGCAGTCGAGGTCTCGGATAACGACTTCACGCATTTACTGCATGCAGTCAAAACCGACTTAATGCAGCAGAATTAGACTGCATGCAGTTAATGCGTGAAGTTGATTACGACTTCACGCATTAACTGCAAACATGCAGTCAATCTGTTAGCAAGCATTCACAAATGTACGTAACATAGAAATTAAAGCTACAAGTATATCCCACGGCGATTCGAACCATCGACTTCTCGATTGAAAAGTCAGTTTTTCTAATGTTTTCTCCCACACCGCTCATATAAATGAAAAAACATTAATTCCATTTAAAAAAATCACAGTACACACGCATTATATAATTACAATACATAATACTTTGCAATTACAACACAACACTTAAAACAAATGAAAACACAACGCCTCATTACAAGTTAACAAATAATACGAATAAATAACTTAAGTAAATAAATATTTAACGAATAAATAATGAGCATAACAGAGTGCGCTGTGCTGTTACGGAATCCATCATCTACTCAGCTCTAAGTAACCTGACATATATATTATAGACGTTTTTATCCTTACAGAAGCTCTTTCGGGTTAGATTGATGTTTCCACAGAGCTAAATTTGTAATCGAAGTTTCTAACGCCACAATTCAAATAAATACCAGTTCGTAAAAGACGTGAATAACCGAACAGAAAACGATTTGTTAACGTCATATTTCATACGAGACCTAGTTCTGATGCTAGGCAAATAAACTGGTTTCATCCACACGCGATCTCAGCAGGCAGTGGTTAACTTATTATTCGCAATAAAAAATAAAATTTCCTTACACATTATATACAGGGTAAAACACCAATAACTTCGCAGGACTACATTACTAACATCATAAAACAAGTTTCGCATGAATTTACCAAAAATAATCTTTTAAGTTTTTGTCGTACTATCTGACACTTTTTAGAGTAAATTTCAAGTTAGTATTCTCTACATAATTTCGGTGGCAATTCTTTATTCTTCGAGTCAATTATCGTCAAATATTAAATAACATTTCAGGGTATTACATGCATGATAATATTCAAGAATACTTAAATAATGAAAATTGCCACCAAAATTAGTTAGATAACACTAACCTGAAATTGATCCATTTGGTAGTAAGATAATAAGTTGAAACGTGCACGCGTCGCCCTCCCTGACGATCCCCTGCATTTGCATCGGAATGGTTTTAAGCCAGCTCGTTTTTTTATTACCGTACCGCACTGTTTCGAGCGATCCATTCAAATATATTTATTTTTGTACAAAAATAAAGTCTGATGAATTATTAAAAGTTATGGAACTATAAGCAGTCGTTTATAATGTTAGTAATATAGTTCTGCGAGGTTGTCATTACTATTTTACAAATAGCCTTGTATACTAAGCGCAATTTCGATTCCTTATCGAATCGCAATAGTCCTTTTTATGTTTCTTCTTCTTCTTCTTTCACAGTTCTATATAATTTTTAAACTTAACATGGTGACCGTTGACCTCAATTACTTCAGATCACAGGTGAAACTCAAAATTAAATTTGGGCTTCGTTAAAACATATTGTGGTTGAGGAACGACCGAATAATTCCTTATGCAATTTAAGTGAATGCCAAGAAAGTTTCGCTCGCTGTACTTTAAAAATGAACAGCTTTGGTATTTTTGAAAAGTGAGCATCGTAAAAAGCAACTAAGAGAAATCCAAGAAAGTCGCAGAAAACTGCTAAACAGACCGCAATGCGGTCCATAATTTATTTTTCTCCAACATGCTCGGAAATGTTTGCATTACTTTCAAAAAACGAATACGGGAAGTTAGTCATTTAGGAACCGTGAGACTTCTTCCCGGCCAAGGCCAGCATAGCAAGTATAAAATTCCATTACTGTCCACTTTTCTAAACTTTTAAATCTAGATGAACTATGAAAACAGGCAAAGGAAAAACTCATACAGCGAACTGTCCGGTGTTAGTAATAGCGAGAATTAAAAATACCTATGTATAAATACCTAAGTAAGCGTACTTAAAAAAAAAGAAAAAGGCGGTAAAATAAACTAAAGTGCTTTGGTATTCTTTTTTTATTGTTTTTCAACTTTTTTGTATTGTTGTCGTTAAAATGAGTGAGACTAGCGGTAACGAAAATACAGAAATGGATTGTATATACTCCTCCTAATTCAAAACGAGGCAATATTAGCGATGGAAAACTTGTTGCCGGCTATGAGCAAAGTAAGATACGCGAAAACATAAGAAACTTTCATGCAATGGAGAAGCAAAAAAAATGCTAATTCGTTTTCAAAGACGGTGTTTGTAGCTTATTTTAGCGAACTTGCTCAAACTCAAATGCCATCAACGTTATGGGCCACGTATTCCATACTCAAATGTAGGTACAGTCCAACTTCAACACAGAGTCATCATTGGAATACAGTAACTTGAAGTCCCTACTGAAGCGCCAATCTGCTGGTTACAAAACTAAAAAATCAAAAATATTTACTGCAGAAAACTTATTGAAATTATTAAACGAAGCTCCAGGTGACAATTTCTTAGGAGATTCGCTCTGGGCCTTTTGGAGGGAAAAGTGTCGTTTTTATTTTGACTTTCAATTATTTTGTGAAATCTAGTTTAAAGTGGAATAGGAACTATCCTATAATCCTATATATCCTATAATCATACTCAAGTCCTTGCTATTAGGGTCGTATTTCAAATGCTTGAAATCATACTCAAGTCCTGACTTGAGCAATTGAGTAGAGTTCTGGAATATGACCCTAAGCAAGATTTGATCGTATATATACCGTAATGTGTAACGTTGAAAGATATTAGTTTCGATACAGTAAAATAAACCTTTGTTTGTTTCAGGTTGCTGTAATTCTGGGGATAAACGGTGCATGCAGGAGCGTAGAGATCACGAATATCAACACAAAGAAAATCACAATACATTTATATAATATTATACTTTTAATATTAATTAATTTTGTTTTCTTACTTTTTTTATTATATATTATTTCCTCGCATTGTTTGAGAAAAGCACTATACACGCCTCGGTCGGAACGGGGATTGCTTGACTCGTAGTAACTCCCTCGTCCAGCAATCCCTTACTTCCCGGGCCTCTGCAGTAATGTACACACGCCAGCGCACATCAAGCTACACATTGACGTATATTGTTCCGTTGCAATGGAGGCGATTTTCGAACAAAAATTTGTAGTCTGATGTGCCGTTGTTCGTACTACAACCTTCCAAACGTAAATATGGCAAAGGATTTTTTTTATGATACTAAGCAACGGGACGGACAAGTCGTAACGGAACGCAGTAATGCTCACATTACCGCTTGGCGGCAGAAATAAGTAAAGTGGCAGTACTTCCCTAGACGAAATCTTTCACAAGGAGCTCTACTGCTACTAAAACTGACTCGGTATAAGGTGCTGGTAAGGGGTGATCGATCAGGTTTTTGTTCAATTTATGATTGTCTATTTGGGAGTCCATGGCACCCGCGACACGGATTCCCTAGTGCGGGGCCGTGGTGAGTGTGTGTTATTATTATTTTTTCGAGCTAGTCTTGTTTGTGGTTAAAAGATGATCCTTTTATAGTTAAAAACATCATTAGTACTAGTCTTCTTATTTGGAAGATACTGGTACTCAGAAAAAGGTCGAAAGTTGTATGTAACTATATGTTTTGGTAAGTTATGTATGTGCCGTAAAGTATACTTATATAGCTTGTTTTACATTGTTTTACCTGTAAGGCAAGCTCCTTGGTCTTAGTTCTGGCAGCGGCGATGCACTTGGTGACGATGCCAGCCATCACCTCGCCGACCGTCTTGCCGGCATGACCGCAGTTCTCCACGAACACCAACGCCGCTTCCATACCTACATTAACAATGTTCATTGAATTTACATATTTCCTTGACATATGCAGTGTGATATTTTAAACCGAAGTATGAGGAAAACCGAAATCATATGAGATACAGGGAAACTATCTTAAGAACCATGAAGTAGAATTTTTTTGAAAAAAAAAATGTATGCATTTGTCTTCCTAATATTTGACCAGGCACAAATAAACTTTACTTATTATTTTGTTCCTATCAACTTCGCGTGTGTTCGTTCGCACTACTGCGTGTTGACATTCTTCGTTCCGGTTTTAAATGGTAAGGGTGATGGTGAAATTACAGGTACATGGGACTTGTCAACTTATGTCTCAGGGTGACGGGCGCAGTGGCAGTGACCCAAGTTCTTTGCGATTAAACGCTCTGAGTGGCACTGCAACTGTTATGGATAAGTGTGTCGCTTATCACCTATCCATATTACTAAACCTATATGTACATGCCACTGCTGAACATGAGTCTCTTCAAAAAGGATCGTATATAGTCTTTTAATATTAAATTAGGAGTTCGTTTTACTAACAACATTAGTGAAGTAATGTTCTAGATAGTAATTTTTTTTGTTTTCAAGTTAGTAAATTTTTTGTTTTTTTTTTACCATATAAATGTCGACAAGACGGTATCATCAATTTATTATTGTAGACATTTCGCGTCTTTACACAACCGTAGGTAGATTGTAAATTTTCATCAGAAGTGATCGACTAGTAACAAGTATTTAATTTTTTTTATGTACGAGACGTATCTTACAGTTTTTTTTAATCAGCGAGAGGTATTGATAAATGTAGGTAACTTATAAATTAATGTCAAAAGTACATAATACAATAATACAAGTACATAATAAAAAACTAGTACGTAATAAAAAAGTACAAAAAGCACAGGAATACGAATCGTCGACCAAAATTGAGAAGCAACCGCTTCCCATTAGCCCACCACAGCTCTTTTACTTGAAAGAGTGGTAACACACGGCGGCTTTTAGCAGCGACGCAAACGTGCGTTCGTGAAACTTGGGTCTTCTGTTTACGTAGCTGAATTATATTGCAACAAACCATAACACAGTTATCTTTTAAACGGTACCTCACGACTTGAGCAGCGAGTTACAGAAACCTTTCTATTTAATGTGATTTTAGTAGTATGCTATCGCTGCTTTTCAAGAATAATGGCTCATATCAAAACAGTTAGATTTTTAGCTTGTTCAGAAGGTGTTTTAAGAGACGAGTTTTAAAACACAGCTGTGCCACATTACATTACTTCTCAAAATCCTCACTTTTTTTATTTGAAAATCAGTGCTGGGAACACGTTGCGAGAGAGCTGGTGACCCTTTTGTTACAGCAGCTGGCACCAAAAAGAGTATCTTTATGCTTCGTGATCTTGTTTACATAATAATTTGTGTTTTAATTTTATTTTTTTGTTTTGTTATATTTTTCGTCCGTTTTATTTCATTTTCCTTTGTGATGTCAGTCAGTTACTCATATAAAAGGAACAACGTATGCTAACAAAAATGACGCTTGTTTTATTTCAGCATATTGCTTGTCCGATGACAAATTACACTGCAATTCACGAGATGTACAGCAGGCAGCTAAGCAACTAATGTGGTCTCAATTCATATAGTTTCACTGTGAATAATTGGTTCAATTTCTTAATTTACTTTAGTAGAGTCGCCTGCAATTAAATGTAGACAAAAGAAGTGAAATTTAAATTCGATTTATTCGAAGGATGATATTCCACGTTGATAAATATTTATAAGGTAAAAACAACAATACAAATCGACGATGAAACGACGACGACGAAACTAGACGACTGCACCGCCAATTTAAACATATACTTTAAGTTAGAAGCAATGGCATGCCCTACCACCTTTCAAGCAGAAGCTGTGGTTCTTACCTCCGAGTTTCTCTTCAACCCTGACATTGGCAAAATCGTCGCGCAAAACGACGGAGCCATAGACACAAAAGTTGAAGTTGAATTTATATGCCCACCATGAGCATTTTGGTAAGGGAAAACATCGTGATGAAACCTGCACATCGAAGAAGGTTCACAACCCTCGGAAATCGTGTCAAGTCCTCAACCCGCATTGGGCCAGTGTGGCGGTTTATGGCCTAAACCCTCGCCTGATATTAGGCCCTTGCCCAGCATTGACAAGTATAAATAGGTCGATGATGGTATAAGTAGAATCCACCTTCACACTAGTCGCTCTTTCTGAAAAGCTTGTAACAGTCCTAAATCCCAGCATTGATTTATTATCAAAAATACCAAAGCCATCAATTGAATTATTTCTACTAATCTGATGAAACACGCGACATCTGACCGTGCGCACAGCGTGTCTGCTGTCTACCCACGTGGTTTATTACATTAGCTTTCACTGTCGCCTACACGTGACACGGTCATGCGAGAGTAGATGATATCGTTAAATTGATCTTATCACTAAAAAGTTCAATGATACTCGGCATGACTTTGATGTTCAATAACTCTTTGTGAGTAGAGCTCTTTGTTCTTTATGGGTCTTTATGGGTGGGTATGTATCACCGCCGTGCTTATTTCTAACGTAAAGATACGCTGTTGTGTTCTGAATTGAAAGACAGGGAAAGCCAGTGCAATCAACAAGTACAGTTGATTTATGGCATGACCGGAAACCCCTTTGGGATATTAATGATTACTTCCCTTTACATCAGGTGGGCCATTTTGTACCAGTTTCTTTTATTTATGCAAATGAAAAAGAATACAAATTAATAAACACTTAAAAGTTTTAGACATTTCTTCCAAAATATTTTACTTAAATTTAGAATAGAATTTATTTCACACAAAAGAAATATTAAAAAGAAATATATTCCTTAAAAATATATTTCAACATTTTGTTAGTCTTATTTGACAATAAGAAATTCAAAATATTTTTATTTCACAGGTAACGAAATTACATTTTTTCATATGTAGAAAAAAACATCTACTCGTTCGTAACGCAGATAGTAAGAAATTCAAGGATTATACTTTGTAAATTAAAATAAGTTTACAGAATTAAGAATACTAAATTCTGTAAACTTATCTCTCAGCGAAAGTCTTACGTCGTTTGTTAAATGCCTGAACAACGGACTATTACTGAACAAAGGAACTGTTAACTTTATACATTTCGGAACCCATTAGTGTTTCAATTTCTGAAGTAAGGTGAATTGTTAGAAACAAAAACATACTGGAGTTCATTGAAGTGCCAACCTAGCCCCGTGTTTGTGAGATTGGCTGCTACAAGTCAGGTGATTGTATGGCTTTTCACGTGTGACTTTGAAGCCTTAATGAAGACTAATGGAATTAAATCTGTAAAGACATCGTTGTATCATCCACTAAACAAATACACCAAATAATGGTTGGTAATCTGATTAGAAAAGAAGTTCTGAAGCGCGAAAAGGTGTGACTGCATATGCCTATATTCAAGTATTTAGACAGATAGATAGGTAAAACGTTTATTTGGATTTCAAAATTGTAAAAAAAAGAAAGCAAACAAATGTGTCTGCTTTCGTTAAAGCCCCCTTACCATGCTTCCCTGTTTTTTTTAATTTTTTTTTTTACTATACCAAGTGACAGGACGAACAAGGTGTGTAGTAGTATTTGCAGTGCCACTCGGAGCTTTAAATTGCAAAGATCTGAAGGACACTGCCACTGCGCACAGGCGCAATTTATATCGCAGGGTGACAGCACCCTGAGATATAAATTGACAAGTCCCAAGGGACTGTAATTTGACTAGCACCCTTGCCCTTCAAAACCGCAACTCGGTAATGCTCACATTACCGTTTGGCGGCAGAAATACGTAAGGTTGGCAGTACTTCCCTGAACGAACACTTTCACAAGGAGCTCTACTGCTAAACTAAGACATACAAATCTAACAAAAATTTTATGACAAAAATAGAAAACGGTATGTTGAGGTGGTTTGAGCACATGGAGCAGATGAATGAAGTAGATTAAGAAAGAAATATATAGAGCTAACGTGGAAAGCATCACTGGTGGGCCAAAAAGTATATTCTCGGATCAAATTCAGAGTGTCCTTAAAAAGGTTGAAGTACGTAGTGAGCAAAATAAGACGGTCTGTATAAAAAGATTAAAGAAGGATCGCGCTAAGTGACGATTAATAGTCTCTGCCTACCCCAAAGGTAATCCAAGAGCGTGAGTAGTACATACCAGTGTTGAGCAAAATTTAATTGTTCAGGCAATTAAAGATTAACAATTAATTAATTGTCAATTGCGAAACGGCAATTAATAATTAATTAATTGTTAATTGCGGTTCTCGCAACTAACAATTAATCAATCGTTAATCGCGCATATCTGCAATTAACAATTCATCAATTTTCAATCTTTAAAATTTTTTTGATTAACAATTAAAACTGACAATTACGATAAACTTATAGGGCATACGGGATGAGTGAGTGGGTGAGTGACCCACCCACACACCCACCCCCTGACACACCCCAAACCCACCACCACAACACCACCCAAATCAATATTAATTGCAACTAAAATTAATTGCGACATTGCAATTAATTTTAATTGCAATAGATTTCAATTGAATTGATTTTTTAGCCTGATTGAATTTCTGATTGAAATTTAATTGATTAACGCCCAACACTGGCATAGTCTGTTCCAATCTATTTTGAACAAAAAGTAAACAAACCTGTTTGGTTAAAATTCTAAAGCAATCACTCAATAAGTCAAATAAGTAACTCTTTCACGTATATTTCGAAGATTTCGATTTGATATATCATTTACTTTTTCCAACAATATTCATTTAAATAGCATCGTAAAATCGTATTTGAAAAATGGTAGTTTAGAAGTAAGGTTATTATTCATCTATACTTCTATGACTTGCCTATGGTTGCATAGTGATGTTCGAAAAAAAAACATTCGGTTCAATCAATGAAAGTTTAGTAATCGATTATTAAATCGAACATTTCAATCGCAATCAAACGAGTATCTAAGTCTAAGGATTTGAAGGAAGATTTAAATTGAAATTTTAAATACGCTTATATAGGTCATGTAAGGAAAACCGCTAGTATGACTCAATTGAAAAAATCGATTCATTCAATTAATTAATCGATTTGTACTTGGCGTTACAATTGGCCATCACTAAACCGTCTATGGTCGGGTCAGTGACTTGTTTGTTTACTTTTTGTTTAAAATGGATTGAAACGAAGTATACATACAAATCTCACACTTCCAATAAAACCAAATAGATCTATCACTTTTGTTGCTAGAGTAACACATATATTATTTCTTAAAAGAAACAAAACGTTCCTTTGATTTCAAAGGAAGTCTCATGTCTCACATTACAAAACAAACTATTTTTAAACTTTTAATATCTTCATCCTACAATGACTTTAGGAAGTCATCTATCATGAAGACAATTCAATTGTTATACTATATTATAATTAAGTACTTAGATATGCCTTGTGACCTAATTTTGTTGGGTATCGAGTAGGACATTTTTATTGCATTAATTATATATAATGTGATCTCTTTTTGTAAATGATCCTAATTAGTACATAGAATTGTTATTGCGTCAAAATAGCATTGTGTTTGAATATTTTCGAACATGGAATGGGGAACTAGTTCAAGCTGCTCAAAAGGAAAGAAACCTTGAAATAAACTTAGTTATGAAATTATTAGTAAATAATCCGTATTTGACGACCTCTGCGGTCGAATTGCTTGCACATCGGTTTTTATGTTGTGGCTATTTCTGAGGTGCCTGGTTCGTTCCCCGGCCGGGTCAATATAGAAAACTAACTTATCTATATTGTCTCGTGTGTGGGTGTTTGTGGTACCATCGTAGTTACCGACTTCCATAACACAAGCACTTCAGTTACCTACTTTGCTAGGTATGTGATGTTATCTAAAATTTATTTAGTTTTTATATAAAGTTGCATGCTTTTGTCACAAAGAATGGTGGTAACCTAGTATACTGCCGCCGTTAGTAAAAGCGCGCTTGTGACAAAAACTCAAAACCGAGAAAAAATGTTTAAAGAAATGTAGTTAAAAAATGTCTACTTTTCTCTGGACTTTATACTTCATCCACTTAGGAAAAAATTAAAATATGTATAAGCATGTGACGAGCGTCCTTTAAACTAACTGTGGCAGTATAGAGATTGACGATGACTGTACGAATCCGTGTTGCACTATGTCTTACTTTCTGTGTTACACACAATTATTGTGAAGTAGCAATACCGCTGGCTAACGGTGTAAGAAACCATCGTGATCGGTGACTTCACGCATATCCCTTGATTGTATGTAATCAATCAAGGGATATGTGTGAAGTTACCAGTGTAAACCTTGTCATTAGAGGCGACTCGTGCGCAGCAGTAGGGTGTATAATGGACTGAAGAAATTCATGACGTATTATGTTGAATGTAGATTATATGAATGTGCTAGTATTTCGTAGTAACACCTGATATTTTGATTCATAAAAAATCCTAAGTAAAATGAGTCATTTTGGAATTCTGTGCTATATATAGTTTATATATACCTGCATGTTACTTATGAGTATAATTATCTTTGTTATGTATGAAGTTAATTGAAACAAATACAAAAAAGTGTCATTGTTCGTAGAGTGAATGACACTATTCACTCTACGAACAGTGACACTTTTCCCTCTGCAATCAAGGGCCCCATGTCTGGTAATTTTAAATCATCTCAGTTATGTGCCGATAGTGTCAATGGCAGGATTTTGTATGTTTGGTATTCTGCTAAAAGTTCTTAAATTTAGGAAATGAAACTGTTTTTCCGGATTTAAATAGCGTATATTTGTTTTTTCAAACATACCGACGTTTCCTGCCCTTTTACAGGTCCCATGGTCACGGTTGACTAGTCAATCGAGCTTGTATACAACTGCCATTGCAATTCTTTTCTACTCTTCAATGGGGAATCGATGGTACGCCGATGGTGTAGTTGCACTAATGTTATATATATTTGCAGACTAAGGGTCAACACACAAAACTGTGATGCGACGTCGCATCGTAGAAATCTATGAGCTCGCATGACACACCGCAAGAATTTGCGAAATACTCCGCATCGCGCATTCCGGCGATGTTAATCTTCTTTGTGTTTTTTCCTATACTTTCTTATCAATAACAGCAGTGCAACACTCTTTTTATGATCCATGTCGCTACCTAGTTTAAACTATACGTTGAGTACCGTTGACGATCGTCGAAGGAATTGTTACCCGAGCCGTGGCAGTGAGATGCCTTGCCGCACGAAATCGCGTCGCATTTTTCTGCGTTGCGAATTCGCATCGCGTCGATTCGCAGTTTCGTGTTTCGACCATAAATTGTTGATTAAGGGAGATAAAAATTTACATATTGCATAATCATTTCTATGTTAGTTTTAGTAAGGCAACATCAATCATTACAGGTTGAATGAATGCCTTCACTGCCCTTCCACTGACACTCTGTTGAGACTCAACTGCCATTGTAACTAGATTTTAGTAGAATAGGGAATATTATTATAATTCCAATAAATTATAAGTGGTTTCAAAAAAATTTGCAGAATTGGGCCCCAGATATTAATGTATTTTATTTTGTTCTATATTTTTGTAGTGAGATAAACGTAGTGAAAATATAACAATTAAGTTTTTTACCATCTTATTCTTAATAATTCCAGTATTTCAGAGGGAGTTTATTATCTACCCTATGTGTATTACTTGAACTTAACTAAATCTCCAAATACGAACTCCTGTAATCAATTATATCTAAAACACTTTTGCAACTGTCAATATACCAGGTATTTTATAAATGCAGACTTTATTTTATAGAACTTTCAAGTAATAAACAAACAAATTTGAGTAAAAAAAATTCTGTGTATATGTGTATAGAATAGATACAGAAAAAACATAAATATAGATTTATTTTACTTCAGACACGACATAGGCCAATTCAGAAACTGGAAATTAGTTCAGTTTAATTGAGAATGTTTGTTTCTCTATGCAAAAAAGGGAAAGAAATTAATAAAATTCTTATGGAAATGTAATAAATAATTACCCCTCTCCTGGGCTACAGCATTACTGTCCGTGACAAATTTCTTGATCAACCCCAAGTATTTGTTCCATTCTGGAGATTTCTCATCGTCAATCTGATTGAAGAGTTTAATGGCTTCTTCATAGCCTAAAACCCGAGCCTTCCATAGCTTGTGGACACATTTCTCCTCCGTCGGCAACTTCTTATACTCATTCTCATCCTCCATCTTGTCAGTTCAGACTGTCATATACTGGGTTTTTTTACAATGTAGAAGACTGTTGACAAAAGAATATGTCACCATTATTTAAAGTCTTACCTAACCCTACCTAGTAGCAAACACATGCATTATACCATATAGATAATTAATAGTTCACGGATTCAATTTCAATTAGGACACATAAGTCACTGTGTCTCATTTACTTCTATGTAATGTAATAGGTAATAAAACAGTTACCTAGCATCAAACTAGAGTAATTCTGTATGAAGACTAGCATTATGAAAGTATGTCTTAAGGTATTACCAGAAATCAATAATAATTGTTTGTTTCTTAAATTGCTTGTACTGGAAAACAAAACCAGAACCTCAACAACTAGCATACAGAGTGCTAACTGCTGGTTCACTGGCAATCTTATATGCAATATAGCAACACATGGTGCACCTATCAAGCGTTGTAGAGACGCGCGATGTTCCTAATGATTTTGAGCAATTTTTATAATTTTTTTAATAAATTTAAAAATAATTAAAAACCATGGATTACACTACACGGCTGTGTGTTAAGAAACAACGTGCCACACTAGGACACTACAGAACCAACATCGTGTTGAAATTTGACTATGAAATGCCGTAAGGGTTGCCAGATGGCCACGATATCCAGAAAAGTCACAGTGATTTGCGTGTGGTCATTACACCTTACTCCTCTGAAATTTCCAAATACTATTGTTTTCCTCACAAGATTAAGGGTCATATTCTAGAAGTCTACTCAATGCTCAAGTCAGGATTTGAGTATGGTTTAAAGCACTCGAAATCATACTCAAGTCCCTGCCATTATGGTCGTATTTCCAGTGCTTGTGTTTCAATTGCAATCCTGACTTGAGCATTGAGTAGAGTTCTAGAATACGACCCTAAGACTCCACAGCAAACAAGGCCAAATCAAGCATGACATGTTTAATGTAATATGTAATATAATGTGTAATAGTGTATAGTATGTATGTCAGGTAATATAGCTTTTACCTAAAATACAATTTTTTTTGACATTTTTTTTTTAACTAGCAATTGTAATGTACAGTCAAGAGGACGTCAACCTTGACACTTTGTACTTTGGACCCTTCTTATCGTAAGCGGCATAGAGTTTGATTTCAATCTTAAGTGTCAAGCTTGACATGCTCTTGACCACTTTTCTATAATCTGTCTAATAATAATTGGAGTCAGAGCTTGGACTCCTTTGTAACTCCAGATTGTTAAGGAAATAGTAAACCTACATCTGACAACACTGGTTGCAGTAGACAAATTAATTCACAATTAGAGTAATCCAATTTATAAAGTGGTTAGAAACTCCAAGCCCAAGGTACTCTAAAATCTGCACCAACAGAGGTCCAACTTGCACTACAAGGTACTTACAAATACTGCAAATAATGTTCCTCATAAATCATTATTTCTATTGAAAAATGATGGTCAATGTCACCTCGCTTATGCACATTGGACAATCTTTACAACACATTTATTTCAGTTTTAAATTTAAATATAATAAAAGAATAATATAATAAATACATCAGGCTAATTGAAATTGTAAAAGATTAATACAAGAATTTGGTACAAATTTATTTTACAGTTTTATTTTTTTTACGAATAAGGAATCTGGGTGGCCATGAACATAAACACTGCACATTATTTCATGCATGACCTTTGAATACAGTATGCAGTTTCCCTTACAAGGTCAGAAGTACATATCGACACCGATATTTTTATTTATTTTTTTATAGTGTCCAAAACCTAATTTAAAAACATTTAATTATAATATTAATTATAATGACGGTAGTGCAAATTATGGTGTATTTTGAAGGTATGTATAACAACTACTTACAGAAATATATTGTAATACTGTGTTACAATTCGTAGTTTATAGTCAGTACTTTCTTCGGCGCGTAGGAGTAAAGTAGAATACGTTACAAGGCAACAAAACATGAGTAAAACTACGTCAATAAATCGAGTGATTCAACGGTGCATTAATTCGATATAGCGAAAAGGCCATCTACAATATTCCGGAACTAATAGTTAATTGCGTGCCGGTTCATTTATAGGCGTGCCCATTATAAGCTGAGACGAGAAACTAGTCCACATCTTCACGAAACGCCCGACATCGGTTACTTTCCAAACAAAACGAAGTCAAATGTCACGATACTTACCGTTAAACAACAGTCCTCTTTAGTGTCTGAGACCGAAAACAACCAAAACTAAATCTCAGCAGTATCAACTTTTCAAGTCACATTATCCAACATTAAGAAATTATCCTAACCGACAAAAGAAATGCCTATTTCTTTTCCGTCGTCGTTTTTTTGAGTTTGCAAATGAAAATGGACGGAACTAAGTTGCCATATTTTCTTTCAATTCTCCCTAAATATGTCATGTTTAAAAACCGTTAGAATTTAAATATTTACAGTTTTGTTTGTAAATCTTCCGTTATTATATATTATAAGGTGTCCTTCATCAAATTGTGTTACAGATTAAACACAATCTATTAGGTATCGAAATATATTTCTTTTTGGCACAAACTTGCATATAGATAAATTGGTTTGCATTGGAACTGGTGGTAAAAAGAAAAATATATAGCTATATTCATAAATTCAATTAATTTATATCGAAATCTAGTGCCAATAAATATGAGGTTACGTCTATTTACTTTCAGTATATATAAGGATGAATACACGTGACGTTCGGTATTGTGAATCAGACCCTTATTGCTTCTTTAAACAGAACTATTTCAAACTTTATAGTGGAATTCCGTGGTCTATGCTCCATCAGTTTAGTATTTGGAAATTAAACTAAAACTCGAAACTTTTTGAGTCCAATTATGTTCTCAGTTACCTTACTTTGTGTATTAATGTGAAAATGTGGCAACATTAAACAAAATTGACATCTATGGCTTGAAATAGACAATTAACAACTTATGAAATGTACCCCATTTATCGGTAAACCATTGTTGGCCTTTTTTTAACATACTCTAAAATCGAATTTTTATAGTAGTTGTTCATAGTAGTGTTTTATATTCGATTTTCAATGAAATTGAAGTCTTACCACAATAGTTCACACCAATGTGTATTATGATGTAGAGAAAAATTCTTTGACATGCATAATACTAGGACAATTTAATTTCTACTTGCACTAGCTTTAACACGTTCCCTGTGCATGCATCACATGTGATGCATTTCAAGTTACAAACAATACGTGAGTGCATCACATAAGATGCACGACCCCTTTGAAATGTATGGATTTATTTTTAAATTTGCACGTGTCAGCCAGATCGTTTTTATTTACTTGCACGTATGAGTCACGTAAAAAGAGACTATACTCACGTGATACCGGATGACTTTTTAACCAATGTTGCTAGATTATCACAGTCAAAAAAAAACACAAAAAATAATAGACATTTTTAAAATTTCAAGTTATATTTGTATAGGATTTACGTATACGGCACATGATAATACTCTAATTCTCTAATTTGTCCATAAGATGATCTTCACCATTTATTCTAGAATTTTCCATATTTCTTCCGGCGCAGACAGCGAAACCGGTTCACCTCGTGGTTTTGAGCGTTTCATGATAAACGTTGACTTTGTGACACTTTGTATAATTTTTAACAATTTATAATAAACTTTCACTATTATTTATTAAATTCTATTTTTATTATAAAAAGATTAATTATAGAAAATACAAATTATAAAACTAAAATAATAAACCGAATAAAATTAAGGAACTGCCAATTGCGTGCATCATATATGTGGCATCAAGTAAAGAACTCATACGTGCGTGCATCACATGTGTAGCGCTTGGGAAAAATGTGAAAATGGGATGGGGAATTCCAAAAATGATTTATTGTATGTGAGAGGTCTATTTCTGATTTCGAGCTGTACAGGGAACATACACATACAACATACTTAACGTATGTGTTAAACCAATGCTTATATTGATGAGAAACTGTTAACACAAAGAATTAAGTATTAAGTAGTATATGATTTTATTCTGATAACAGTTTAACTGTGTGTGTGTGTGTGTGTGTGTGTGTGTGTGTGTGTGTGTGTGTGT